CAGACTCACCTAAGATGTTCAGAATAAGGGAAACCAAGTGTGTGTGTGTGTGTGTGTGGGGGGGGGGCTTTATGAGAACTCAACTATCTTTGCACTTTCTCTGTAAATCTAAGACTGTTAAAATAATAAAGGTTATTTTTAAAAAGTCTTCAGCCCACCCCGTGCCCAAGTGTGCAGTTCCCACTCCTCCACCACACGTCTTAATCGCTGACCTGCGCTTTTGTGTATCCCTCAGAGGTTCAGTGAGCAAGTACTAGCAGGTGCCTCCCAAGGACACATTAGGATGCTCAAGGGGCCGACCACCCTTCCTCCAGCTACCTGGACCTCACAGCCTCCCGCTCCAGGGTCTCTCTCCACCCCCCACCCCTCCCATCTCTCTCAATCCCAGGAATTCTAGGGCTTTTTCCTAAGATAACATTTCCCCACTTCCTTACACTCATCACCATTCACCGCCCTTAACATCCCCCACATTATCTCCCAAGTTCTGGGTGATTTGAAAAAAAATTCCTCTCTCCGCACTTTATAATAAAACATTTATAGAAACAGAAACGTTGAAAGACTCGCTCGGTGACTATCGCACATCTACCACCCAAATCGACACTAGCTCGCAGTCTCCTGAACCTCTCCATCGCTCCGTCCTTAGGTCCGTGGGTCTATTTAAAGTACTTCGAGGTGTGGACAGCAGTACACTCCCCGAGCCCTTCATGCCTGTCATTTTTAATTCCTTTTTATTTTTAAGGTACAATTTACATAAAGCGAAATGTAAAAATCCTAAGTGTGCCTCAGTCGGGCTGATGTTGGATGGTACGCGGACGAGCATGTTTCAGTTAATAGTGAGGGGACCCCCCCCCCACCTCCCGTTGATGATCGTGGCCCAGGCTTCCCGGTACCACGAAGGTGTTTGCACCACGCACGTGTTTGCAGGAGCTGTGCCGGGGCAGGGGCGGGGCGGGGGCTTCCAGGCGCCGACGCGGGGGCTCAGGGTCGCGCCCGGCGCTGCGGGCGCCGGCGAGGAGAGTGGCCTCGGCCCGGGGCGCTGGGAGGGGCTGGGGACGCGGCTGGACGGCGTCTGCGGCGGGGCCGAAAGAGCGCGCGTGTTCGTGGGTGTTCGCGAATCCCGCGCACCTGCGCGCCCCCTCCGGCTCTTCGAGGCGGGGCGTGTCCCCGCGCAGCGCCGGCACGGCCGGGAGCGCAGGAGGTGCCCCAAAGTGCTCCCCGATCACAGATGCGCGATGCTCCGTGAAGATCGGCGCTGACTACTGCAGGAGGAAGCCCAGGCCTCGTGCGTCCCCACCCAGCGCAGCGGGCAGCAGTCCGGACGGACAGACAGGCCCGCGGGAGGGGAGCGCAGCGGCGGCGGGCGGGGAGCTCGGAGCGTCCTGGCCCGGCCGCGGGCGAGCGCAGCCGGCTCTCCGAGCATGCGCACAGGGCCGCCGCGCCAGCCTCATGACTGCACAGGCGGCGTCTGCCTCTAGGTGCCTCGTTAGCGCAGTAGGTAGCGCGTCAGTCTCATAATCTGAAGGTCGTGAGTTCGATCCTCACACGGGGCACAATACTTTTGTTCGTTCGAGGTCCGTGCCCCGCGGGGAAGGGGCATTTTGTTACCCCGTTTGTGGGCTGGAAGACACCGGCCGTCCTCACGCTTCCACTTTGGGGTCGCTGGCGTGTCGGCTGCAGCTCGGCCCTGCCTGTCCTTTCCGAAGTACGCGGCCCGGGGGGTTCACTGTCTAAAACCCCCCTTCTCTGCCCTGCTGCTCCGCAGGCTCCCGGCCTCCTGGGCCCGGGGGGAGGACCGGACCGAGGGCGATGCGTGGCGACACCGGGGGACGGGGCACCTGCACAAGACTGGCCCCCCCGGGTGGGTGGGACCCCGTGAGCCTCTTGGGAAGAACCCTGTCCTCACCACCTCCGTGCTGGGGCGGGGGGGTGCCCCGAGGAAGCACCCCTGCCTCCCACGCCCCACCGTTGGCCGTCGTGGGGGACGTGCACAGCCCGGGGGTAGTGAGCAGCTCATAGGTCATAAATTCACCCCTACATTCCACCTTCTAAGCCTTTGGGTACCTTCATCCACATCCTGCCAGGGAGAGTCTGGCATGTCAGTCTGACTAAGTAGAGGCCACCTTGCGTCCACATTTCTGTCAATTAACTTGGAGCTCCTTCCAAGTGCATGCGTGTGCCGGTTACCGTCTAGCTGCCTCTGCAACGATGCCCTCTTGGTACTGCTCCCCCAAATCGACTGGACCCTGCAAGCACTTCTTACAGTGTGCACCACGTTCAACTGGCCGTAGGGGGTGCTGCAGGACACGTAGGCGGAATGGGCGTCTCAGCTGCCCAGTGCGGTTTTGCTTCTTGTTCCTGTTTCATGGTTCATCAGCGGTGCGAGTGTGGAGGGACACCTAGTGGTGCTCTGCCCCAGCCTGTGCCCAGGCACAGTCTTAGTGACTTCACAGTCCCTGCCCAATGGCCACTTTACTGTAGGCCTCCCAACATGGGCATGGCATGTTCCAGGTCTAGTGCCAGCAGCAGTGCCCTGAATGCTCTGAGCACCTTGTGCCTTCCACTCTTGGTTTGCTTGTCCCCAGTGGGTGGTGTCCTGTGGCTCTCCCGCCATGGCCAGTGCTGGACAGTGTGCACACCACCCCCGACACTCAGGCTTCTGGGCCTTGACCCTATGTGCTGTCACCTAACAGCCTTGGATTGCTTGCACCCCAGACTTACTTCCTGAAGCCTGGGGCCTGTGGGCCAGCCCTGGCCTGGACAGCCTAGCAACCCCTCCACTCTCCAGTGGTCTGCAACCACTTCTCCTAGAGGTCTGCACCTGAGTCTGGGGAAGGCAGGGGCATCCCTTCCAAGTTTATCTTTCCTTTATTCTCCCTTAGTCCAAGACACCCTTTAGAATTCTCATTACATCTTTAGTTACTCCCCTATCACAGTTCAGTAACTTTTTATATTAAACTTTTCCTGTTCAAATTATCCTGTGGTTTGTCTCCTGATTGGACCCAGACTGATACAAGATTAAATATGAAGTCCAGAATCTGTGGTAAGTGCACCCATATGAATACATTAAGCCTTTGGCAGTCCTTATAAGTCATCATCACCACGGTAATGGTTAACATGGAACCACTGTGGAAAGGCCTTTGGCAAACGCTCAAATCTGGCTCAACATCAGAGAATTCTTACCAGAGAAAAAAATGTGTATGAACGCAATGCAAAAAGGCCTTTAACCAATTTAATAATTTATTCAACACCACTGGCTTCATACCGTAGAGAAACTCTTAAATGTAGTCCATGTGGACAGGGATTTAGCTAAAGCCCCAAATTTATCCCACACTGCAATCCACACCAGAGAGAAACCTCATGAACGTAATAAACATGAAAAGGCTTCAGCAACCTCCCTGCTTTAACAAACTCAAGGGAGTACTTGAGAGCAGCTTTTAGAATGTAGCCAGCGTGGGAATTTTCGCCAAGTTTAGTTTTTATTCAGTTCCCAGATTACTTACAGTGTAAAGAAACTGGGGTAAGGTTGAGGATATAATGTCGAGAAGCAGGGACAGAGCATCAGAAATGTATTTCATGAAATGCGATAACCTTTGAAATGCCAACCAAGCACCTATAGCCAGAGATGTTCAGACAAGTACCTGCTAAGGCAGGGACTTCATCAAGATTATTATTGGGAGAACTGTAGGCTCAGAAAATGAAGAGCAAAGGAATTTCTTCATTTGGTTGAGAATAAGCATAACTCACTTTCACTGGATGAACAGAAACTTAAAAATTATGAAATATTGTAATACTATTAAAAGAAGTGTGTGAGTAAGGTATAAATTCTAGTTAGAGGACCAGAAATAGAGGTCAGAAACTGGTAATATACAGCTGATTCTGGCCGGCAGAATCACATTTTATTTTTCAATTACAGTTGATATTATTTATAGTAGTTTCAGGTGGACAGCAGAGTGGTTAGACATTTATATACCTTACAAAGTGATCCCACAATAAGTCTCGTGTCCACCATAGCTCTTACAATATTAATGACTAGGTTCCCTATGCTGTACTTCTTGCATCCCTAAGAACCACAATATTTTAGAATTTGCATGCTTTTAGGTGAGCAAACAAATTCTAGTTCACCAAAGTTCCCATCATGCCCTATTTATTTTATATCCTGTGACTGTCTGCTGCCAATCACACCAGCCTGACCCATTAAGGCACCTTTGGAACTACCTGAACATGAACAAAAGGTTAAGCTGAGGCAAGTGCTCTTGGGAAGCCTTGCATGGTGACATTTTAAAACTTTGACAGTTGGCCAGAAAGAGCTTTCTGCTCACTGAAAATATCTGGTTTAGCATTAAGATTGTTTTGTGATCACCAGAAAAAAGAATTCCCACTACGTGTTGCTCATCACTCTCTGTCAAACACTGTGCACGAACTTGACGTACATCATCTTGTTTAATCCCCACACCAAGTCCAGGAGCGACTTCCACCCTCCTTTTGGAAACGGGTTCGAAGAAGTGATTTGGCCCGGACGGGTGCAGCTAGGCGCTGAGAAGGGAGGTGAGTGGTGCTGTCAGGAAGGACCCTGGGGCTGAGAACCAGGGGTCACTGTAGGGGAGACCCTGGGGGGGGCCAGCCGGCTGCAATTTCGGCCCCTCCACGCAGCCGGTGCTCTGGTCTCTCGGTCCTGGCTGTGTAGGTTGTTGAGATGGTTTCCTGCTCTTTATCTCGTTTTATCTTTGAAATAAACCCCCGTCAACTAAAGTTATGGAGGTTTATGCTGGTTCTTACAAACTGAGAGAGCCTAACAAGCTTTAATATCTTCAAATGTTTTTATTGTGAGAAGTACCGGAAGCCATTTACAAGCCAAAAAGCGTAAGAATTAAATAGAACACATAATTTTTATACACAAAGTTTTCCATACAAAGGGTTGATCTTTACAGGAATTTAAAATAAATAATCTAAAAATCAGTGTCACTGATTGCAAAACAGGTATTTCTCTCTCTGCCTCTTTCAAGGTGACCAGCCTCCTATGTGGCCAAAAGACGGGGCGCCTGACACCTGCTCCGGGCCTGCGCGGCGAGTCTCTGGCGGAGACTCCTCACTCTCTCCAGGAGATCCAGTTCCGTGCTGTCCCCCCGCTTTCCTCTCTGGTTTAAAGAACCTTGAAAACATAATTTAAAATCAACGACAGTTTAATTTTTCTGATGAGAGCAATGATACAGCACTTATTTTAAAGGTAAATGTGTTATAAAAATCAATAATGAAGTAAATTCTAAAAAACAAATTTCTTAAACAAAACCTGACATATTTATTACCTGGCCCTACGTGATTCCAGTTACAAACTAAATATTTATTTGTTGAACTGAATGAACACTATCGACAATTTACCCGCTCTTGTTTATTCAGCATTTTTCCGTTTGGAGATACAACTGTGTAGATGAGGAGCAGGGCCTGCACACAGAGAAGCCCGGGCTCTGCGACACACTGCGCTTCCTCACTGGGGCGAGCAAGGCGCTCCAAGTCGCCAAAACTGATACTGTGCACACCATCCCCACTTCCCACGGATGAAATAAAAATAATCAAATGCTTTTAACAGTGGCTAACACACGCGAGTCCAGAATCAAGATTAAAATATTACAATGTATCCACATGTAAGAGCCATTTCATACTGAGTTAGAGGGGCTAGCAGATGTTGGGATTTGAAAAAGTACCTTAAAAATACACTTCTCTGCAACTCAGTTACATATTCAAACAGCTTCAATTTCTGAAAACTACTTTTTTCTCCCAAGCAATACAATACAACTTTTATGCTTTTCCATTTTGCTGCCTAATAACCTAACCTTATCAAATGCTCTCAAGTCAATTTTTGAATTTAGAATTATCTAGCTGAAAGTTCTGATGTGTCGGAATAGTGAAGAGTTAAGAATCTTTTGTATTTTCATTTGACTTATGTACAGACTTCAAGTTTAATTCCTATTCGAACACAGAATTTATAGGTGATGAAAGCGTGACTTAGCCGAAATATTTTACACAACAGTGGATCCTCACGACCTGTTGGAGCTGGTCTTTAGGGGACAATATATAAAATTTTGTTCTAAAAACACTCAAAAGACCTTGTAAAATTCCACTTCATCTCTCTCTCTCTATTTTTTTCCATTTTTTGTTCAGACAGAGTGGGAGGGAGGGAGAGAGAGAGAAACATCAATGTGAAAGGGACACATCGAGTGATTGCCACCTGCACGACCCAACCAGGGCCGGGGACAAACTGCAACCGAGGTACATGCCCTTAGCGGGAACCGAACCCGGGTCTCTCAGGACCGCAGGCCGACGCTCTAACCGCTGAGCCAAACCGGCTGAGCCAAACCGGCTGAGCCAAACCAGCCAGGGCACTTCATCTATATTTTTATTGAAAAAGTCATTTCAAATAAAGTCTGAGTTTCCTGTCCCCTCCATCTCTCCTTTTAAAAAACTCACAGATACAGCCCTGGCCAGTTTGGCTCATCGGTTAGAGCATTGGCCTGCGGTCCGGAGAGACCCGGGTTCGGTTCCCGCTAAGGGCACGTACCTCGGTTGCAGTTTGTCCCTGGCCCTGGTCGGTGGTGCGGGTGGCAGCCACTCGATGTGTCCCTTCACGTCGATGTTTCTCTCTCTCTCTCCCTCCCACTCTATCTGTACAAAAAATGGAAAAATATCCTCGGGTGAGGATAAAAAACAAAACACAAAAAAACCCCTCACAGATACAGAGAACAGGCTGACAGCTGGGGGTGAGGGTGGGGGGCTGAGTGACACAGGTGAAGTAATTAAACAAAAGGCAAACAACCCACAGACACAGACAACAGCTTGGTGACGGCCAGGGGGAGGGTTGGGAGAGGCAGAAGAGGGTATAGGGGGATCAATGATGACGGAAGGAGACCACACAATGTAATATACAGATAATGTATTATAGAATTGCACACTGGAAACCTACTTAATTAACAATGTAACCCAATAAATTTAATAACAGACAAACAACCTGCCCCAAAACAAATCAAGTCCCTGACTGGAAATTAGTTCCCTCACGGGCTAGTGCTGTATCGCTGCGAGATGTTTCCAGCCCACCCCTTCCCAAACGAACACACTTCCAGTGAACCACGTCAAGGGACCAAAAGGCCCTGACACGAAGCCCTAGGCTCCAGCCCCGTGCCCTCGGCTGTCCCGGCCGCAGTGCCCACAGCGGACACGTTTCAGCGTTGTTGGAGGGAGCCCAGCTCAGAACAGAGGCAAGGACATTCAAGTAAGTAAGAGCTTTGAAAATTAACGCTGAGGTTTTCTTTCCACAAGGATGTAAAAATAGTTATGAATATCATTAATTTAGTTGGCGACAGACTTCTGTTGGAGCCTCCATCTGCGTTTTGGGCGGTGGTGTTGGTGCCCAAGCAATGGAGAAGCATTAACATTGTTTGGCAAACTTTCTAGACTTGGGTTCCGGTCTGATCCGACCGTTCCCCCGGCTGGAGATTTGAGACTCTTGCTGCCTCCCTTTCAGGATTTCCATCACCACTGCCCTGGGAAAGTGGCATCAACGTGCCATAAATTTAATTTAAGTCACAATTGCTTAAATATTGCTAAATCAATCTCAAATAACAGAAGACATCTTCCTTGTTTATCAGCTTACTCCGTGCGGAGGAATCCAGTTCAGAAACATCATTAAACTGTGCGGTTCCAGGCAAACAGCTGGAGGGGACCCGTCCGTTTAGGCATCTGGGAACCACTGTTACAAAGGTGAGGAGACAAACAGGATGTTTGGGAGTGAGTGGAAGCCTGTATTAATTCCAAATGGCCCCTAGTACATCAAATTGCCAAGGTTAAGAAGCCCCTTTTGCCCTGGCCGGTTTGGCTCAGCAGTTGGAGCGTTGGCCCGTGGACCAGAGACTCTCGGGTTCAATTCCGGTCAACGGCATGTATCTTGGCTGCGGTTTGGTCCCCAGCCTTGGTCAGGGTCATGTTGGAGGCAACCGATTTCTTCTCTCTCTCTCACATTGATGTTTCTCTCTCTCTCCCCCCTCCCACTCTGTCTGAAAATGAATGAAAGATACCCTCGGGTGAGGATTTGAAAGAAAAAAAAGCCCCTTACTTTTCTGTTCTGAGAATGATGGAAGAGCTGACACCAGTCAAAGGGCCAAGAAGTGCAGTTAGAAGTAAGAGCTGAGCAGAAGCTTTGGTAAATAAAGTACTTTAACTATAGCTGTTAGTCTAGAGATCCCAAACACTGATTGGAAGGGATTATGAAATGTAGTTAGCAAGCCTTCCCCAGACTAACTGTGAGCCGATCACAGCAGGCTTGAACCAGGCAGGGCAACCAGGCAGGGCCCAATCACAACAGACCGATAATCAGAACCACCAACAGGCACGTTCTACCTGCACCCTTCTGAGGGGGTCAGCAGAGCAGTGTTCTGCACCTAACTGGGACCCCCACCCCAATTTTTAATCACTCACTCTCCTCATTTCAGGAGTTACACCCACCCTTCAGCCGTGCTTTTACTGCTCCCGACTCCTACAGCTTTGCCCCAACAAGACACCGACGTCTTTTTGATTTTTCATCCTAATGTCACCTATGACTGTCCCTTCCTCTGCGCTCCCATACCTAGGGCTGTCTCCATGAGTCAGGCGAGAATGTCTGGGTTACACTCAGTAAGATGCCTTTTACCTGCTCTCCAGAGCTTTAGCTGATGGTTTTAACTGTTTTAGCTCAATGAGTCATTACGACAATTTGACTAATTACCAAATGACTAATTTGAATGGGTGTGGGGGATGAAATATGAGCGTCATCTTCAACTATTTGAAGGGCTGCCACGTGGCAGAGGCAGGAAATGTCATCTGCATTGCTCCAGAGAACAATTTCTAATGAGAGAATGAAACAGAAAAACAAGAAAAGCAGACTCAACCTTACGTGGGAAACAGCAACTTCTGAGTAAGACACTGGCAGAAAACGGAGAGGGCACCAAGCTCGCCAGCTCCGTAGCTACCCCGGCACAGGCTGGGGGCCACCACTCCGAGATGACTCACTTCTCAGACTCTGCTCTTCAGGTCTTGCCGAATCTGAGCTCTCCCAGGTCCTCGGCTCTCATCTGTGCTCAATCCACCCTGCCTGCGGCTGTTGCCTTCACCTTCCCGAAGGGCCACGTTGTAACTTTCAAATGGTGATGGTTCCCTGGCCCACAGCAGTGTCTCAGTGTGTCATCAGCACTCTTCCTGGCGCCTCCCTTCCGGGGCCTCAGCGACACAGCAATGCTGGGCGCTCTCATCAAAATGCCATCTCCCTAATTACAGCGGATTATCTTCCAGTTTTAGGATTAAATGACTGGTTTAATCTATACACCCTGATTAAGGATGAAAAATCCTTACACATTTACCTTTAGAAAATGGATGATTATCAAATTCTCTCTCATTGGTGAACTTTAGAAACGATTACAAGATGCAGGTAGCTTGGCGGGAAGACCACGGAGGCAGGAGAGCCAACGTACAGGGAGCCTGCTGGTGAGAGGGGCTTCCTGCAGTTTCTCCCTTTTTCTACTTCTAAATCCATAGTCTCTGAAAGTCTCAGATGTTTTTCTTTCTAGCGTAGGGGCAGTGTGGCAGGCTGGGGAGATGTGGAGCTCTGGGGTCTATGATATAAGCAGGCAGGCAGACAGACATGAGCAGAGCAGGAACATAGGCCAGAAGGTCACCAGGTGGAAAGCCCTCAAGTCCTTAGCAACGGGCAAAACTAGGCTGGGACCTTGCCCCCAGGGTGACTTTTACTCCACTAGCATATGGCAGGTCATGGGTTTAGACGTCCTGACCTTTCACATTACGGGGCATGTGGTTCAGGCCCTCCCCTGACCTTTCATCCCCTAGTATGTTGCTAGTCACATGGCTCAGATCTCCTTGGAGGACAGCCTCATACACGACTCCCATACGAGCCCTTGCACGACCACTCCCTTAAGCATTAAGTCCTGAGGACAATAAGGTTCTGACCCACATCAAATAATATTAAGAACAAAGCCTTGGGTCTGCTGACCAAAGTTTTGGTTAAACTACAGATGACATTCAGGTCTCAGCTGTTTCAGCTCCAGGCCCAGAAAAGCAGCAAAACCAGATGGGGAGATGCCACGGCTGATGTCAGAACCAGATGCGATGGCCAGTAGCCCCCTGCCCTCAAGGACACGCCTGGGAAGCTGATGAATATTCTATTGAGACCCTCCCCGGGACCCGCCCTAAGACCCCTGCTTCAGAGAGTGGACAAACCCTCAGACGGAGGGCCCAGGCTCCCCTTCCCAGTCACGTGACCTTTGCCATTCTTTTTCCTAACTTCCAAGGGCCCTTCTTCTGCATTTGTAACTTGTTTACTGAGCCCATGATGCTCAGCTGTCTCACTTCTACCTTTGTGACTTTCCAAATAAACTTTTGCTTGTATTTGAGTCTTGCATCTGAATTCTTTCTTAGCCGTAACTCAAGTACCGAGGTTGCTGAATGGAGGTCTAATCGCCGGTGACATTTTGGTGTTGTTTTCCTGCTGACAGGTAATATCTTCTGCAAGCCAGTTTTTAGTATTTAATTTGCGCAGAGTGACTGACATTTCATTCCCCACGTCCCCCAAGTGCCCTGGGTGCTATCTGGGACCTCAATCTAAAGTATGAGAGGTAATCAGGGGTTTCAAAAGTAGGTATAATTAAATGATGAGAGCATTTAACCTAACCTGTGTTTTTACTTTTCAAATTTGTGAACTATTAACGTAATGCACACAGCAGCATTATTCATAAGAGCCAAAAAGTGGACACAACCCAAATGTCCACCAACTGATAAATGGATAAATAAAATGGGAATATCCATATAATGAAATATTATTCAGCAATAAAAAAAAGTGAAATACTGATGGTTGAGTCTCAAAACATTATGCTAGGTAAAAGAAGCCAGACAAAAAACCATACACTATAGGATTCCATTTGTATGAAACTTCCTGAATAGGCCAATCTATGCAGACAGGAAGCAGGTTAGTGGTTGCCGGGGTGGGGTCTAGGGAACAGGGGAGAGTGACAGGAATCTGTCAGAGACTACAATTGGGTATGGGGTTTATTTTGGGGTGCTGGAAATGTTCTAAAATTGTGGTAATGGTTACATAACTGATAAATGGTAATACAATACCAATGAATTGTAACTTGAAACAGATGAATGGTATGGCATGTAAATTACATATCAATAAGGCTGTTATTAAAAGAAAGTAGTAATTACATTATAAAAGACCAAAACAATTCAAAATACAGTACAATAAGTTTCCCGCATCCATACTTCATTATAAATGATAATTTGCCTTTTCAGTGGATGCCATTGTAAGGCTTATACCTGTAAGTTTCCTTGTGCTACTTTCGTATATCATTGTGCTGAGGAACAGCTATTGGCAAAGCGCACATTTTTACTAAAATAAACTAGAAATGGCACTTTGGGAACAATCATAGTCTAATACACTAAGGGGATGCCAAGGACCCCAGAACAACGGAACGAGACAGAATTCCACAGGACGGCTGAGAGATTTTTCTCGATGGAGCTGTTTTTAACAGGCCACCTCTCAGCCCCTCCTTCTGACCAAAAAAAGTGACGAGGGATTCCTTTCAGCTGAGCAATCATTTGAATAAAAGTGCCCAAATCCACCTCCAGGATAGTACAGCCACCGCAGTCAATGGTGCGGTCAGGAACACCAGGAGAGGCGCCAGGAGAGGCGCCAGGAGAGGCGCCAGGAGAGGCGCCAGGAGAGGCGCCAGGACGAGAGGCAGCAGGGACTCACCTTTGCCACGCGGCTGCTCCGCCTGCCCTAAAGCATCCTGTGTCTCCTTCTCCAGAAACCACTTTCTAGATGCATCCGAAAGGGCAGAGGCTTTCTTTTCTGATTTCAACTGAAAGTCTTTTTCTTCAGCTTCCTGCCACTAAATATAAGTGGAAAAAAAAAAGTCACAGAAAAAGTTGTGGTGAGGCAAGTTCCTGCAGTGGATGAAGCCCGTTCCCGCTATGCCGCTTCCTTGGGTAGTCCCCAGGCACCTGTTCGGCCCTAGGGCACCTGGGTGCCCGCCCTGCCCAGGCAGCTGAAGAACCCAGAGAGCAGAGGACCTCTGACGTCACTCAGTGCCCAGTGCCTTGTGCACACCAGCAGGTCCCAACTGTCACTGAATGAACGATTCACTTCAATACACTGCAAATCTCAAGTCTCAGAAGATTAAGCTTTAGTTTCCAAAATTAATGGCAACTGTTTCATTTACTTTGCTATGTCTTAATAATAAATTCTACAAAATTCAGAGAATAAATTTTCTTTAGCTTTATTGGGAAATAACTGGATAAGTCACTAAGTGTGAGGCACACAGCATGCCGGTGTGATTTACACATACTGGGAGACGATTACCACAGGGTCAGCTAAGTCCGTCTCATTTAGATACAAAAATGGAAGAAGTGTTTTCCTTGTGATGGGAACTTTCAGGATTTACTCTCTGGACAGCTTTCCTCTCTCACAGCGGCTGGTAGCCACAGCCCTCATGTCGTGGGGAGTGAATCTCTGCCCAGCTCTGGGACACTTAATGGCTACAGGGAAGTCAAGTAACCTCTATTAGCCCCTATTTTCTTCTTCCTAAAATGAGAAAACAAAAATCTTACAATTAGCTTAAAGCAGTGGTTCTCAACCTTCCTAATGCCGTGACCCTTTGATACAGTTCCTCATGCTGTGGTGACCCCCAACCATAAAATTATTTCCGTTGCTACTTCATACCTGTAATTTTGCTACTGTTATGAATCGCCATCGGAAATATGTGTTTTCCGATGGTCTTAGGCGACCCGTGAAAGGGTCGTTCGTCCACCAAAGATGTCGCGATCCACAGGTTGAGAACAACTGGCTTAAAGGGTAACTAACAATTTGAGATACTATATAACTCCTGCAGTTTACCAATGTTCTAGAGATGCTACAGCTTTTACATACAGGCTTTTTATATGCAAAATTTCTGTTATAGAAATGCTACTGAATTAAATATACATTAAATAACAAAAACTTTAAAGAATCACTAGGGCCAGGGAGGACCCTAACAGAGGTCCGTCCCTTCACGTTACTGATGAGGAGGCTGAGGCTGAGTGACCCACCGAGGCCACACGGCAGGCAAGCTGGAAGCCAGGACACTGGGCACAAGGAGGATCTCTGCACACCACTCAGGGTTCTCACCCACAGGAGAGCGACGCCCACTCTCCACAGCCTCGCCCAGCAGCAGCACGCTGGGCTTCCTCCACAGCTTTCCTGGGAAAAGCCTGAGATCTGGGCATCATCACTGCCACCCGTCCCGCTCCTTGAATGAAAGGGTTACACCTGGGACAGGGTAGGAAGATGATGAGTGGAACAGCGACTTGAAGGAAATATAGTATGAAAAGCGTTCAGAATAGACATTACGATCTAGCAGCAGAAAGAGGAATGAATGAAAGCCAGTTATTAGTTCCCGATCTCTGGCTCTGCAGTGTCCTTAGGGAAGGCCATTGTCTGCTGACCCACGAGCAGAGGCCCCAACGTGGTTCTGTGATTCTTCCTTGGGAACAGGATTCTAATTTTATTTGGGATGATAATGCTCCCTGCTAAGAAACACTTCATTCCCAGCATCCTGTGCTGCCAAGTGTGGCTGGAAGTGTGATCTGGGGACTCTGGAAAGCAGGGCAAAAGGAACTGCTCCGCTGGCAGGTGGAACCGTGACCTTCTGTCCTACCTTCTTCCTGCCGAATGGAATGTACATGGGATGGCTGAAACCCATCATCTTGGAGGGTAAGCAATCCTTGACAATGAGACGTATACCAGCAAGTAGGGTAGACAGGCTGAAGGATGCAGTGTCCCTGATGACCTTGGAGTCAGAATACCTGGACTGCCTACCGCCAGACAGCTTTCATGTGAAAAAAAAAACTTCTATCTTACTTATCATCACTGTTATTTTGTTTTTTGCTGCCAGCAACTCCATATAATTCTTTTTTTTTTATCCTCACCTGAGGACATTTTTTGTTCAGATAGAGTGGGAGGGAGAGAGAGAGAGAGAGAGAAACATCGACGTGAAAGGGACACGTCGAGTGGTTGCCACCCACACGACCCAACCAGGGCCGGGGACAAACTGCAACCGAGGTACATGCCTTAGCGGGAACTGAACCCGGGTTTCTCAGGACCGCAGGCCAACGCTCTAACCGCTGAGCCAAACCGGCCAGGGCAACTCCATATAATTCTTAACTGTTCAAAATCTTTTACACTGTAAGTATAATGAATTAGGAAAGTAGTAATATTATGCATTCAGCCAGGACAAATCCAGGAAGCTGAGAAGCTGAGATACACTAATGTAAATGAGAAAGATGCTTAGTCATGTTTAGGTGGCATCCATCAATACTGGACTTCTCTGAGCAACATCTATTAAAAGTAGATCATTTTTAAGATATTTTCCAACAAAAAATTAGTTTGATGCTTTTGTTAAATAATTAATAATTAAATAATACTTAATTAATAACAAGTTTATAACATCATTCTTACTTTTTCAGTTTCCTTTCCCATCATTGCATTTAATACTTCCACTTCTTTCCTTCTGTTTTCCTGAAGGAGTTTGGCCATTTCCCGGTAACATCCATTTCGTTGTAGATCATCACGTCTTTGTTTATGTAAAGCTTGAATTCGCCAGTCAGTATTTAGACATGCTTGTTCAGCTTTTGCCAGGTTTTCTTCAATTAACTAAGAAAGAGTTGGCAATTTCAGAAACAAGGTAAGACTATATAATTATGGTATATCCATTTAATGTATCTAAGTGTCTAGGGCAGCTGTTTGAAAATCTGGGTGCATATTAAATCACCTCTAGGTGTTTAAAAATCACTGATGTCCCAAGACCCACCATAAGCCAATTAAGCTGATCTCTGGGGCAGCTGGATGTTGGTACTTTCAGAAAGTTCTTCAGCACAGAAGGGAAGGACTCTTACACTGCTCTTGGCTTTGGGACCAGGGCCAGGCCCTGTTACAGACCTACTTAGGATTCTATTTAAGGGACAATCGAGAACATTTTTTCTTGAAGTTCTCAAATTCTATTTCAATTCATTTAAGCCAGAATTTCTCCACAAGAAATTTTATAAAATAAGTTTGGGAAATTTTCTTAAAGATTCACAATGTACCATATCCTCAAATTTGGCATGAAAATCTTTAACACAGAGTTTTCTTTCTTTCTTTCTTTCTTTTTGTTAATCCTTACTCAAGGATATCTTTCCACTGATTTAAAAAAAAATTTTTTTTTCTTCATTGATTTTTATTTTTATTTATTTTTTTTAATCCTCACCCGAGGACATTTTTGCATTTTTTTTTTTTGTTCAGACAGAGCGGGAGGGAGAGAGAGGAAGAGAGAGAGAGAGAAACATCGATGTAAAGGGACACATCGAGTGGTTGCCACCCGCACGACCAACCAGGGCCGGGGACAAACTGCAACCGAGGTACGTGCCCTTAGCGGGAACCGAACCCGGGTCTCTCTGTACCTCAGGCCGAGGCTCTAACTGCTGAGCCAAACCGGCCAGGGCTCTTCATTGATTTTTAGAGAGAGAGAGGAAGGGAGAGGGAGAGAGAGATAGAAACATTGACGAGAGAGAACATCAACTGGCCACCTCCTGTGTGTCCCCCACTGCGGATTTGGCCCACAACCTGTGCATGTGCCCTGACGGGGAATCAAACTGGTGACCTCTTAGTGCATGGGTCGACACTCACCCACTGAGCCACACCAGTCAGGCGATTTTTTTTTTAAGAAAGAGTAGAAGGGCCCTGGTTAGTTTGGTTCAGCAGTTAAAGTGTCGGCCTGTGGACCAATGAGTCGCAGGTTGGTCAAGGGCACGTACCTTGGTTGCAGTTTGTCCCTGGCCCTGGTTGGGGTCGTGCAGGAGGCAGTCAGTCGATGTGTCCCTCTCACACCGATCTTTCTCTCTCTCTTTTTCTTCCCCGGCCCCACCACTCTACCTGAAGAGAAAAGGAAAAAATATCCTTGGGTGAGGATTTAAAAAAAAGAAGAGAGAGTGGAAGGGAGAGAGTGTGGAAGGGGGAGAGAGAGAGAGAGAGAGAGAGAGAGAGAGAGAGAAAGAGAGAAAGAGAGAGAAACATTGATGTGAGAGAGACACATTGACTGGTTGCCTCCTGTGCTACCCCAACCAGGGCTGGGGATTGAACCTGCAACCCAGGTACCTGCCTTTGACCAGGAATCAAACCCAACACCCTTCGGTCTGCAGGCAGATGATCTAACCGCTGGGTCAAACTGGCCAGGGCTAACACAGAATTTTCAGTACTTGTTTGTCATCTCCCATTTCACTGAATAATAGTTATTAATATTCTAGAGAATATACTTTGAAACTACTGGTTTATATGCTAGGCAGAGGCCTGATATTTTGTAACTAATCTAGTCAGGGACAATTTCTGAGACATAACACAGGATACTGCAATTTATAAAGTTACTACTTCCTTTGTATTTTCTAAGTCTAAAATTTCCAGAGTATAGAAGACACATGTATATGGCTGTCAATGAAATAACTGCAAATAAAATAATGTTAGATTCTAGAAACTGTGCTAATTGAAGAAAAGAATTAACTTTACACAGTTCAATTTTGAATTCCTTCTTTTACAATGATGACAGAAATCTCCTCCTTTATATAAGCACTAAATGGATCATGTTTTTACCTTCTGAGTGTTTCGGTTCTGTGTTTGATCTGTTTCCATCAGTCTAAGAAATGAGCGTTCTTCAAGATCCACTTTTCGTCTATAGGCATCGATATCGTCTCTTATTTCTTTTGCAACAGTTTCTTGATTTCTAGTAAGATTCTGTTAGAAAACATTTATTAAAAAAATCACTGATCTATAATAATGCTAGAACACAAAAACGACTTTTCTTTTCCCCCAGAATTCTAATATGTACTCAAATAAAAACTATAATCATCAAATTTTCAAAGTAAAAAACAACCAGCAGTCACATCAGTGAAAATAAGAGTAAGGACCTCTGAAAATTCTCTCATCCATAAAAGCACTGAATCCCGGCAAAATCGACTTTTTCCGAATTCTGGAAATTAACAGAAGGCTTGCAGCAACCTGGGGAGCATTTATTCATAAAAATGGCTGAATCTTGGTAGGAATAGGAAGCATTATGGATCTTTAACTGTCATTATTCCTACTCCCCCCTACCCCTAAGCTCTGCATTAGCCTTGAAAACCAGCAGCCTGCGGCCAGCGGAGGGGAAAATGGAGTTGGAGCTCTTTCAAGCTCCCACTCCCAGAGAACTGTCATCAACTGACCTAATGGTTCTGAGAGACCCCACTCCCACGGCTGTCTTTATTTGACCTGACTCAGAACTCAACTACTTTGAACAGCCTTTTTTTCTGGGGACATTTGCTGCAAACAATTAGAGGAAACTGTTGAAGGCATGAGCATGTGTAAGGCTGTGCACATACCAAGGGCTATGTGAATGCTCAGACCTGAGACGGCCCTAAGCTGTCAACTCTGGTGAACTTAGGTTTTGCACAATCAGAAAGTAAACAACTCTTTCTTAGATTTCAAACTACCTAAGTGTTCAAGGTGCACACAGAGCCCCTTGGCAAAGACTAGAGGCTTACTGGTTCAAGGCATCTAACCAAACACTTGACCAATCACTAAGCTACCGGAGTAGGGTCTTAAGTGGCTATATACGACAAAGACTAGAAACTTTACAGAATTAATGCAGAAAAGTCACCAAGCAAAGAAACAACATGAGACTCTGGGGAGGGAGGAGATTCTGATTTGCCATAATTGTATTATTTAAAATGTCTAGTTTTCAACAAAAAAATTAACATATTAAAAACCAAAAAATTAACATATTAAAAACCCTACATACTTTGAATAGACATTAACCACGTGATTTCCAAAGAAGATATAATGGCCAATAAACATATGAAAAGATGCTGACATCACTAATCATAAGGGAAATGCAAATCAAAACCTCAATAAGATGCCACTTCATACCTACTAGTATGGTTATCATCAAAAGGACACACAGTAACAGTTGTTCACGAGAATAAAGAGAAACTGAGACTCTAAACTCCTAGGTATACATCTGAGAGAACTGAAAACATACATCCAAACAAAAAGCTGTACACGAATGTTCACAGCAGCAGTACTGATCATAGTCAAAAAGTGACGACAACCCAAATGCCCACCAACTGATTAATGGATAAACAAAATGTGATTTGTCTATGCAATGGGATATTTATTATTCAGCCATAAAAAAATTGAAGTACTGACTCAAGCTACAACATGAATGAACCTGAAAACATATTCTAGTTTTAAAAAAGAAATAAAAGAAGGCATTATGCTACCGAAAGAAACTGTCATGAAAGACCACAAATTGTATGATTTCATTTACATGAAATGTCCAGAATAGGCAAATCCAGAGACAGAAAGTAAGTGAGTGGTTGCCAGGGGCAGGGGACGGGGAGTGAGTGCCAGTGGATACAGTGGTTGGGGTGGGTGGAGGGAACAGCAAACAGTATTCATGAAGATTTAAGATAAAAAAGCAAAATGCTAATTGTTAGTAGCAAATAATCTCACTTCTCCTTATTGATATTAGCAGCTACTTCTTGACTGAGGGATTCTTTTCTACTTTTCTAACTATCTATTGGCAGCATAATTACCATACAATTAGTTAAAAATAAAGTTTTTCAATCATATGCAGAGAAGATACAAGTGTGAAGAAGTTTATTGCCAAAAATTCTAAATCACTTAAACTACCAACAACAGAACAATGTTATGTTATGTCTCATCAAAGCCACTACAAATGATAACTACAAAGAATGTAGCATTTGCTGGGGACAGGGTGGGGGGATGGGGAGGAGGGTGTCAATGGGGAAAAAAGGAGAAACATCTGTAACAAAAATAAATCAATAAAAAGAATTAAAATGAAATACAGCTTGAACTGGCAAAAAAAAAAAAAAAAAAAAGAATGCAGCATTTGGGAAAATCATTTGATTGAGTGAAAAAGAAAACTGTACAGTAAGACATTTTTGCTACCTTACAATCCTGAATGACAGTGTTTTTCTTAAATAAAAATAAAACAAACATTAAAAAAACACAAATAAATACAGTCTAAAAAGAGTCTGTATAAACTCTGCTTTTCTTTTTCTTTTTTTTAATCCTCACCCGAGGACATTTTTACAATTATCTTCAGATAGAGCGGGAGGGAGAGGAGGAAGAGAGAGAGAGAAACATTGACATGAGAGAGACACATCGAGTGGTTGCCACTCACACGACCCAACCATGGCCAGGGACAAAGTACAACCAATGTACGCGCTGTTAGTGGGAACCGAACCATGGACTCTCTGGACCGCAGGCTGACGCTCTAACCACTGAGCAAAACCGGGCAGGGCAAACCCTGCTTTTCTAATATTGGAAATCACTGATTTATACCTTCTCATAAAGTCTTTTTTGTGATTCAAGTTCCAGATGTCTCATTTCTAGGTCTTTGGCTGTGGTAGCAATTTCTCGATCTCTCATATGTATCTATGATAAAAACAACAACACAAACTATGAATACCAAAAAGAGTTTACAAAATAATTTTTGTTTAATAAATGTAGTAATCTTGTAATCTGAACAATTCACTACAAATATTTAAAATAATAGGTACTGAGTTTAAGAAACGAGAGTAATTGACATTATATTAACATTTCTGTGGAATCGGGGAATACTGTCTGAGTTAAAGTTAAGCTTAATTTTCCAGAAAGAAAGCACAATTACCGTATGCTCCGCTACTTAGACTGTGAGAACAGATGGCAGGCTTCTACCATATTACATTAGTCAACATTACAAGTTAGTAAAACTTGAGCAATTTAAATTTGTGGTGGATAAAAATATAGAATGTTTAAATCTTATTAAATATAAATGTATTTATTGCTTTTTTCTATCAGACTTCTGTACTTTTATATATATAAAAAAAGACACTACAGTATAAACATTCTTAAGAGACAAGCAACAGACCAGAGGAAAACACAGCACACAAAAGGTTAATCCCCAACTCTACACTGCGGGGCAGCCACTGCTCAGCAGCCACCTGGGGCTGCTGAGCACCTGAACTGACTTGACTCTAGGTGCGTCACAATGTGAGTATAAACTGACTACTAGATTTCAAAGACTTAGTAACAGTACAAACAAAAGGGGAAACATCTCATTAATAATACCTTTATGTTAATTATATATCAAAACGGATGCAAATATTAAGTTAAATAAAATGTTAGTAAAATTAATTTCACCTGTTTCTTCTTTCTTAATGTGGCCATTAGAAAACTTAAAATTGCCCATGTGGCTCACATCTGATTTCATGGACACTGCTGCCCCAAATGACACAAAGAGCCGTGTAAAATTGATAAGAAAAGGCTAACTTGATAGGAAATGGACAAATACTATGGATATGCAATTTATAGTTCTACAAATGAAAGATAAATAACTGAAGAGATATTTAACCTCACTAGCAAAATATATAAATACATAAATAAAGGCAAATTAAAATATACCATTTTCACCTATCAGACTGGCAAATTTTAAGAGGAATATTCTCCAAATTGACAAGGGTATGGACACTCTTTTTAAAAATCCTCACCCCAGGATATCTTTCCATTTATCTTTAGATACAGTGGGAGGGGGAGAGAGAGAGAGACAGAGAAATATCAGTGTGAGACACACCAATTGGTTGCCTCCTGCACGACTCCAGCCAGGGCCAGGGATGGAACTGCAACCGAGGTATATGCCCTTGACTGGAATCGAACCCAAGACTCTGGTCCGAGGGCCGGAATCGCTTTAACTACTGAGCCAAATGGGCCAGAAAAGGGTATACTTTTATTTATTTATTTTTAATTTTTTTTTTTAAATTGATTATTTAGAGAGAGAGGAAGGGAGAGACAGAAACACGATGAGAGAGAAACATCGGTCAGCTGCTTCCTGCATGCCCCCTACTGAGGATGGAGCCCACAACCCAGGCATGTGCCCTGACTGGGAAATGAAACAGGACCTCTCAGTCCATGGGACGGTGCTCAAGCCACTGAGCCACACCAGCTGGGCTGGATACTCTTGATATAGCTTAAGTGGGTTCCTTTTTGGAAGATAATCAGCATACCTTGCATGTGTGCAAATATGCAAAGATTTGTACTGAGAAAGTACAACCTGGTACTGTTTTATATAGCAAAACACTGTAAACAACGTAAATGTCCAATGGCAAAGGATTTTTTAAATAAGCTATGACATATTCATACAGTGGAATTCTAATCAACCATAAGAAAGAGAAAGATATACAGTACAACCATTTTTTACAATGTATGTTTGGGGATGAAATCAAAGAGTGGGCAAGATAGAGATATATATATATTTTTATCCTCACCCAAGGACATTTTTCCATTTTTTGTTCAGATAGAGCAGGAGGGAGAGAGAGAGAGAAACATCGACGTGAAAGGGACACATCGAGTGGCTGCCACCCGCACGACCAACCAGGGCCAGGGACAAACTGCAACCAAGGTACATGCCCTTAGTGGGAACCGAACCCGGGTCTCTCCAGACCGTAGGCCGACGCTCTAAACACTGAGCGAAACTGGCCAGGGTGGGAAATACTTTTTTAATGTAAACAAATGTATTTAATGTATTTTAATGTATTTACTTATTAAATAAACAAGAGTATTCTAAGATAAGAATAATAAACCTTTCTCTCGATTTCGTCATCCAGTCTTCTTAGTTCCATTTCCCGCTGATCCTGCTGAAGCTTCAGAAATCGCCTCCTTGCAGCATCCTGTAAGTGCATCTCCCGCACTCTCAGCTCCCTCTTCACGGCAGCGAGTCTTCAACACAGCAGGGTGGGCAAAAGTAGGCTTACAGTTGCTTGTATTACAAAAGCATGCAGATTACATCAAGAACATTTCCCAATATAGATTTAAGTGGAAAAATATTACATTTCACAACAATGAAGGGCCTGCTGCCTACTTAGGCCCCTTTTCTCGATGTAACTGGTGCCACTGTAAGCAGCTTATTTACAGTGTGTGGCTGCAAGATGCCCAGTCACAAGCCTGCGAGAATGGACAAGCACGGTCCACATCAGCTGCTCTCCTCACACACACGTTCTCCTTGAGCTCTACTGCTCAGCTCAGCTCAATGCACGTGACACCCTGTCTGAAGGAAGAAGGCCAAAAATGCTCCGGTGGTACCAAAGAGCATACTTAACTCTCTTAGAATTTTAGAAGACTAATGGCTTAGTTCAGTAACTTTTTTCAACCCACACTGGAAATCTGTTTCATAGTCACACCCAAGAAAAAGAATCAATAATCACTTACAGAGGTTTCCCAACAATGAGGCTGTCTCAATGCTCACCCCATAATCTTAATTCATTTCAACATTTTACCTTAATAAGTATTTATTAGTTCTTCCCCGTCCTCCAGAGTACATGATGCATGATGAGATAATCAATTTATGTTTCAATTATCAAGTCACACAGATATGTTTAAAACATAATTTAAAAAATTATGCTCCACCAAAGGAAATTTATCCAGCATAGTAATACACATAATTTCTGCTCTCTATAGAATAATGTTTCTAACAATGTCCTCCCAGGTACAGAAGATCTTTGTATTATTTCTGCATAATCAGTGCACAGTTGCATCATAGTCAGGATAGCTTTAAAATTACATTTTATTATATGCCAATTTTTTTTGAAAAGTGGTATATACACAGATTTCTTTTTATTAACTTAAATATCTACTTAATGGAAATGCTACATACAGTGTTGAGTAATGATACATATAGTGTTGTTCCTACAATAAAAAATGAGGAAAAAAAACTGTTCGGCTAACTCATATGTCCAGATTTTTTCAAAGCGGTAAAACATACCTCTGTCTTTGTTGTATCATCTTCTCCTCCTCTTGTAAGAGCATCTCTCTCCTTGTTTCTTCAGCTTTACGAAGCAGTTCTTGTTTCTGGTACCAAGCTTCATCTTCAACTCTTTGTTGGTCTACTTCAGCTTGCATATTCTCAACTGTCTGCCTTCAGAAGGTAATTTTTGTTATTATATGAAAATGCAATCAAGAAAATTGAATACTTTAAGTCTAAGAACAACCAAAACACAAAGCGTATACCTGATTAATATATAATTGTTCTACTTCCATATATAAGAATTAAATATCTTTAAAGATATTTTCAGCCTTCAAATGCTGATTTTATACAAATACTTAATAATTTACATGTATTTTTAATTAAAAAATTCTTGTTTATATTTATAACAAATTTTGTTTCTATCAAAGAACAAGTTTTCCATGATTACCTCTCTCTTAAGTAATCCAATTCATCGTTCCTTATTCGTTCTCGTTCCTGTGTCTGATAGTCCACAATGAACTTGGGATACTGATTAAATACCGGATACTGCCCTTTCGTCAGCGCCACAAAGGCATCAAGCATCTTCTCTGGGTGGATGTCAGCAGGTGTGGTATCCATGAGATGATAAACTTCTCTAATTACAACACTTATGTCCAGGTTATTCCGATGATGAAAAAAATACTGTAAGAAAACTGTGTGTTTAAATCGAGATTTACCTAACATAGCATTTACAGGCAGAATTTAAACAGGAGTTTAAAAATGTAAATGTGGCCCTGGCCGGTTTGGCTCAGCGGTTAGAGCAGCCACCTGCGGTCCGGAGAGACCTGGGTTCAGTTCCTGCTAAGGGCATGTACCTCAGTTGCAGTTTGTCCTCGGCCCTGGTTGGTCGTGCGGGTGGCAGCCACTCAATGTGTCCCTTTCACATCGATGTTTCTCTCTCTCTCTCTTCCTCTCTCTCCCTCCCACTCTATCTGTGCAAAAAATGTCCTCGGGTGAGGATTAAAATAAATAAATAAATAAATAAATAAAAATGTAAATGTGAATTTATCATCAAGAGGATTTTTTCCCCCTCTGATTCACTGAAGCTTTCCTTAACTAACCCAAATGAAGATCCAATTTCATATTTTCAAAATGTAGAAGTTTCACAACCATATTATAAACATGAAACACTTTTAAATTTTAACTCAAAATGAAGGCATTGAGTATAATAGAAGAATGCTTTGACAATGGAACAAATACTTCTACTTGGATTTTTTCCCTTAAAATCCAAAATAAATAACTTGGAAAAAAAATTAGCCTTTAAAAATAAATTATCTTGATTTAAAAAAAAATATCTGAAATGTTTCCACATTATCTTGTTCTGCTGGCAGATCCGAATTCACAGGGTAGGGCTAAAGTAGGTTTATATTTGTTTGTATGGAAAATAATACAATAGTTAATAAGTAACAATACAAGAATAAAATCCATGTGCCACGTACTCACAACCCTAACCCTACTTTTGCTCCACCCACCCCCACATACACATGCATCTCGTGAGCATAAAGTGAAAATAAAGTTTAATTTGACAGGGACCACAAACTAAGTAACAGACAAACAAAACCCAATTTAATTCATCCAATCTACCAAAAGAACCTCTCCTTTTATTTAATTATTTATTTTAAAACCTCATACAAGGATATTTTTCCATTCATCTTCAGATAGAGTGTGAGGGAGAGAGAGAGAGAGAGAAACATCAATGTGAGAGAGAGACATCGACTGGTTGCCTCCTGGCTGGAGATGAACCAAAACCAAGGTACATGCCCTTGACCGGAATCAAACCCTCGACTCATTGGTCCAAGGGCCAATGCTCTAACGGCTGAGCCAAACCGGCCAGGGCAGACCCTTTCCCTTTTTTTTTTTTTAATCCTCACCCGAGGACATTTTTCCATTTTTTGTTCAGGTAGAGTGGGAGGGAGGGAGGGAGGGAGACAGAGAGAGAGGGAGAGAGAGAGAGAGAAACATTGATGTGAAAGGGACATATTGAGTGGCTGCCACCCACACGACCCAACCAGGGCCGGGAACAAACTGCAACTGAGGTACATGCCCTCAGCAGGAACCGAACCCGGGTCTCTCTGCACCGCAGGCCGACGCTCTAACTGCTGAGCCAACCCAGCCAGGGCAGACGCTTTCCTTTTAAAGGCCATCTCGGATGCTTTCTTTCAGTCACTTTCCTGCCAAGCCTCAGCATTCTGTACCATTCTGCACGTGTAATGGGCATCCAGATTATCACAGACCGGATCGGTTGCTGTGATAAGATCATGCACAGAATAAACCCAAGTTAAACATCCTTTACACAGACAACAGAGCGCAGAGCTCCCACATTATCATGGTTATTTTCTACAGCTACGACTACTAGTCTGCTGCACCTGTCTGTTGAACTGTCTATAGATCATGAAAACACAGATGTGCTATAACTTGCTTTCCACTATATTCCTACCTCCTAGCACCTGTACCTGACACACACCAGGTACTCAATAAATAAACGGATTTTTCAACTGAAATAAGTGAAATTTGAGAACTGTCTCCTAAGAACAAGGATATTCACCTCAAAATCATCTTTCCGGTCACAGTGGAGCAAAGGCGCTCTGGAGCACACGTTGTAGGCGACCACGGTCATCAGCAGGAATGAAGGGTGGTTGGAAAAGACATTATCAAACAACTTCAGCCACTCCTCTCTCGTCAGCACTTCGGAGAACAAGGTTTCCAGGAGGGGCCACGCGTACAGCTAAAAGTAATAAACAATGTATTCGTTTTCTAGGGAAAAGTCGTAACAATGTCATCACTAATACTGTCTTATGTTTTGGTTTAGTTATTAAAGTTAGTATATTAAAAACATAATTATGTAAAGTACTACCTTAATTTGGACCCTTCTTTTTAGACTTTCAGGAAAGCAGTTTAATGAGGAAAGAGAATGAAATACTGTTAAAAATACAGTAGTAGTATGTTTCTATTACACTCTCAAGAAAATACTGCTTTATTTATGATAGAATCAGTGTTAGCTTCCAAAGTAAGTGCTGTCAGTTTAAGAACCTGACCTTACCTGGGAGGTTATGCCACGGTCCATGAAGTGCTGCAGCAGCGCCTTGTCGTGAAATGCCAGGACGTTCTCTACCATACCAAGAATGTTGATGGGAGGGTTCGGGAAATACTCAAACCAGTGTTGACACCAATTGACTATGAAAGAAAGAAACGGAAAATTTATCTTTATCTTTCTATATTATCAAAGGACTTTGCAATTCTCAAATGTATCCACTCTTCGTGTCCTCCTCGTGCCTGTTAATAAAGAAAAAAACATAACTCTTTAAATTCTAGAACAATAGATTTTAAAACTCTATCATGTTAACATAATAGTTTAGGTTAATAGAAATTTGCCAGTTTCTTCAGATCAGTCAGTGAGAAATAAACAAAACTTTCCAAAGCATTCCTGATCCCAGCCACATGGCACTTTGTGGTTGATTTGTTTCTAATAGTTATTTATGTATTGAATTCATTGAAGTAACCTTGGTTAATAAATTATATAGGTTTCAGGCGCACAATTTCATAATACCTCATCTGTATAATGTACTGTGTCACCACTCAAGTCAAGTCTCCTTCCATCACCATTTCCTCCTTTACCCTCTTCTACCTCTTCTTACCCCTTTGACTTATTTTCCTTTTAAAATAAAACTCTAGTGTTATATATGCACGTTATGGAATATTAGTCAATAAAATGTTTATAAAGTTTATAAAAACAGGGAAAATGTATAGAGCACATTAAATAAAAGCAGTATGATTATAAAAATAAAAAAAATAGGAAAATCCCGCAAAGTCTAGCAGTTGGGGAACAGATAAATTATAGTACACCTAAAGAAGAAATATATTATGCAGGCAGTAAATTATGTTTTTTAGGAATATTTAATAACTTGGGGAAAAATGGTCTAAGAAATATATCAATATATTATCAATGATTATCTCTGTGGAAGAGGAATATTGCTAGATTTTCTTTTCTTTTGTATATCTTCCTATATTTTCTCCAATGATCAGTTAAAATTTACCAAAGCGAATACAATGTACTAAAATGAACAAAAAACAATGTAAAGAGAAATATTCACAATATATATGCTTGGATCTTTTTACTTTTACTTTTCAGAACTTTATTGCTATAATAAGTGCTTACCTCTTTTTTCCTGTGTATAAAAAAACACTTTAAGTAATTTAAAAATACATATAAAATTGGTTATTTTTGTTAAAACAACCTATAATTTGATTCTAGTTTATTAACTGTTCAACTGAAATGATTTTACTAATATGAAAAGGATGACTCACTTTTCAGTGTAGAGGACGAGGACAGTCACACAAGGGCTGGGAATACAGGCTACAGAGTCTGACTGCCTGGGTCAAATCCGTGTTCTGCCATCAACCTAACCTTGGGAACTTAAGCTCTCTGTACCTCAGCTTCCTCATCTATAGGATTGTTGCAAGGATTAAATGAGTTAATAGAGACAAAACACTGGGATGGTACGGGCACACAGCAAGTTCTCAGGTGTCAGCTATGGAAGAGAATGAGGTTCAGCACTTCCCACAACAGGCATCGTGTGCTAAATGCTTTCCGGACTTTCCATAGTCCTCTGAGTGACAACTGACTTCCAGTAAGTAACATATCTGCTTCCCTCTTACTAACAACATTTAGCTTATAACAGTATCTTCTAAAATACAACTACCCAAATTTCCTTGTAAATGTGTAAATGTTGCAAAGAAATCAGAAAAATGTTGCAAAGACATCAGAAAAATGTAGAAGAATCCACCCTTGGTTTCACTATTTAAAGCTTATTTACTTACTTATGAGAGTAGCAACAACTTCAAAACAGATGAGCTGGTTGTTCTGGAATAATTTTACAAATGGAAATGCCAGGAGTGGAAGGTACGGTGTGTCACCGAAGATGGCAGACCAGTGAGCCAGTGCAGACAGGGTTCTGTGAACGAAATAAGAAAATAAAGACCAGAAAACAGCTTATTATTAAAATTTATTTGAATAGACAATACAGTCACATATTAAATTTGATACAGGAGGTGTATTTGCTTAACATTCCTCCTCCCTATCATCTAGCTCACTTCCCCAGAACCACAGTTGAAAGTAAAAATCCTTTTAAAAAAATCACAAATGGTGGTATATTACAAACATTGTTCTGTACCTTGAGTTCATATCATTATATTTAGAGCTTATTCATGATATTTTACAGACACAAGATACGCCTTAATCTCTTTAACTTGGCCCTACCGCTCATGTTGCCAATCTTCAATGCACAATGCTATGCTTAATGTCATTTGTATGTACATCATTCTCCATGTGGGAGTACAGAGCTGGACATGTGTGTTAGTAATTTCTATAGCCACTGCCAAGTTAGTCTCCACAAAACAGTGTCTACTTAGCAGGTAAGGGGATGCCTATTTTCCACTCTTGTCAACATATCTCATTACCAACCTTCTTTTATTTATTTTTTAAATATATTTTTATTGATTTTTTGAGAGAGAGGAAGGGAGAGATAGAAACATCAATGTGAGAGAAACATCAATCATCTTCTGCACACCTCCTACTGGGGACTGAGCCCAAAACCCAGGCACGTGCTCTGACCAGGAAGTGAAAGAGGACCTCTCAGCCCATGGTTCAATGCTCAATCCACTAAGCCACACCGGCGGGGCATCAACCTTCATTTTGAATCTTTAATCTATGTGAGAAATGAACTGCTATGAACTACATGTTCAATCCTTTTCCCACTTTTTAAAAAAAAAACTTTTTTTCTTTATTGATTTTGGAGGAAATGAGAGGGAGAGAGAGATAGAAACATTGATGAGAGAGAACATCGATTGGCCGCCTCCTGCATGCCCCACTGGGGATTTGGCCCACAACCTGGGCATGTGCCCTGACTGGGAATCGAACTGGCGACCTCTAGGTGCATGGGTCAACGCTCAACCACTGAGCCACACCGGCTGGGCGCCCTTTTCCCACTTTATATAAGTTGGTCCTTTTCACATTTATGCCAGCAATCATATATTAAAGAAATCAGTCTTTTATTTGTCATATGTTTTGCATATATTCTCTCAATTTTACATATGTCTTTATATTGGGAATGATTTTACATGCGGAGATTTTTTCCCTATTTAAATATTAATTTACTTACTTATCAAGGTTTTATTCTGTTTTTATTTATTTAGGCAGAATGTTATAGTTTTATTAACACAAGTGCAATGTGTGCACAATCTGTCGATTTGTTTTCTTCGGGCGCAGCCTGCACCGGGACCGGTGACGCCGATGGCAGCTGGGCGGCTCTTTCCGGGGGGCTTTGCGGCTCTGCGGAGACGTGAGCAGTGTCAGCACCGTGAGATGCTGCACATCAGCAGCACTTCGGGCTCCGCGACGCTGTGAACAGACACTTATGGAGGCCACTGGGCAGCACGTTTCTGTTTCCTTGTTGCTCCCATAACCCATGATGGGCATCGAGATCTGGTCCTGAGTCTCCCGCGCACCCTCTGGTCAGTGCCTCTAGGTTTCCGCCGGTTCCGCTTAATTTCGACCGATCCGTCTGACTGGTGCCGACCAACTTCTTGGTCCTCTTTTGACAATCTTGGGTTTCACGAGGGGCCTGAGGGCAGCCTGGCGCCGAGCAGCAGATTGCTGCCAACTCCGTAGGCAGCGCCGAGGAAGAGCTCACTTTTACTTTTTTAATTCATAGCAGTATCTTCTGGATACGTTGTGCTTAACTCTGGATTATAATTCTCACACCTTCACTTCTAATACTTTTAAGGTTCCTTCCTGTTTTTTTTTTAACTTTTTGTTTTGAAATAATTTTAGGCTTACAAAAAGTTGCAAAAATAGTGGAGTTCCTCTGTTCCTTTCACTCGAATGACTCTGTTTTCATTTTGTATAAATGTAGTACAATTATCAATACTAAGAAATTAACCTTGGTACAATGCTATTAACAAAATTACAGATTTTATTCAGATTTTGTCATTTTTTTCCTTTCAACAATTCAGGATGCAACATTGCATTTACTTGTTACCATCATCACAGCTTCTTTCAATGGGAGAGCCTCAGTCTCTCATCTTCTATGACACTGACGTTTTGAGGAACACCAGACAACTATTTCATAGACGGTTCATCAGTCTGTGCGTCTTTTTTCTCATGATTAGACTGAGGTTATACATTTTTGGCAAGAATACCACAAAAGTAATGTATAACATCGAGGTTTCATCGCTTGAGTACTTGGTTAAGGCAATGTCTGCTGAGTTTCTTTACTATAAAATGACTATTTTCCCCTTGGTATATGGTAAGTAGTTTGGAGGCGACACACATGGCTGCAATATACTGAACATACATACCTCTGTAATACTCTGAGTAGTTTCCTACTTTTGATGGGGTATTTCCGCTGAAGGTTGAGAAATGCCACGTGAACACCTTTATCTACCAGGCTGCTAAATGCAGTATGGTTTTCAGGCAGCTGTAGCAGAGCGCGCCAGATGAACATTCTAAAATGAAAATTTAATTTTTACCAAGAAAAATCTCGGGGTAAACTGATTTAACATGAAAGAATTTCAATTTTGCCCTGGCTGGTTTGGCTCAGTGGTCAGAGCGTCGGCCTGTGGACCATAGAGACCTGGGATCGGTTCCCACTAGGGGCACATACTTGGTTGCATTTTGTCCCCGGCCCTGGTTGGGGTTGTGTGGGTGGCAACCACTTGATGTGTCTCCCCCCCCACCCCCCCGCTGTATCTGAAGATAAATGCAAAAATGTCCTTGGGTGAGGATTAAAAAAAAGAATTTCAATTTTACCTGTATTTTGTTGGATATTCACCATAGCCTTTTAATAAGATTTGTAAGCGCTTTTTATTTAATCCATCTGACAATTCATTCTATAAAGAAAAAAATACCAATAAATGACATAACCATAAAGCTGAAAAGGTAAAGTAGTCCACAGTGGCTTTAACAACACAAGACACAGTAAGAAATACTTTTATATCATCAGACTCTACACACACACACACACACACACACACACACACACACAGCCTCTCTCCCTTCTCTACCCAACTCTACCTCTCAAAAATCACTCAAAAGTAATTAGTATCTTTGTCTTCCTTATGGAGTTTTAGAAACGAATACTTAGGTACTCATATTCTTTGTAAATTGGTACCCAAGTATATAGTTCATATAGCTTGTTTTCTATATTTAACAAAAATGGGCAGAGGAACTAAATAGACACCTCTCCAAACAGGACATACAAATGGCTAAGAGACATATGAAGAAATGTTCATCATCACTAATCATCAGAGAGATGCAAATCAAAACAACAATGAGGTATCACCTCACACCTGTCAGAATGGCCGCCATCAACAAATCATCAAACAATGTGTTGGCGAGGGTGTGGAGAAAAGGCGACTCTAGTACACTGTTGGTGGGAATGCAGACTGGTGCAGCCACTATGGAAAACAATATGGTGTCACCTCAAAAACTTAAAAATTGATCTCCCATTTGACCCAGTGATCCCACTTCTAGGAATATACCCTACGAAGCATAAAACACCAATCAGAAAGAATATATGTACCCCCATCTTTGTAGCAGCACTATTTACAATCGCTAAGATCTGGAAACAGCCCAAGTGCCCATCAGTAGACGAATGGATTAAAAAGCTGTGGCACATATACACAATGGAGTACTACGCAGCGGTAAGAAAGATAGATCTCTTATCCTTTGAGACTACATGGAGGGACCTGGAAAGTATCATCCTAAGTGAAACAAGCCAAACAGAGAAAGACAAATTTCATATGATCTCACTGATCTGTGGAATATAATGAACATAACAGTTTGACAATCCCCTAAGGAGTGGGGAGGTGAGAGAGGGATGAACCACAGAACTTATATGCATGTATGCATGAACAGTGGACATGGACAACAATCTGGGGAAGGGGCAGGGAGGGAAGGGGGAGGGGGGAATCAGTGGGGGAAAAAAGGAGAATCATTTGTAACAAAAATTAATCAATAAAAAAAAAAAAAAAAAGGAACAGAAAAAAAAAAAAATACTATAATCATTTTCCTTTCCTCCTAAATATTCTTATAATTCCACAGTATAGCTCCATCATATTTACATGATTAGTTACCTACTATCAGACATTTTGGTTATTCCTTAGTTTTCCTTGAATGAATCTCTCTCTCTCTCTCTCTTTCACACACACACACACACACACACACACACACACACGGTAACAGGTCATCTCAAACAAGGCAAAGAGGCAAATTGGTCCATTCTTTTTGAAGAATAATTTGGCTATTACCATCAAAATTTTCATGCACACACTCTGACTTAAAAAAAAAAATCTACTTCTGCATTTGTGCAAATGTTCAAAGATAACTGTCCAAGGATATCCACTGCATCAGATTGTGTTAATAGAAGACTGACAATGCAGTACAACCTAAATGCCAGCAAGCAGAGCACTAGCTACATAAATTAAAGTATATCCATAATGCAGTACTAAGCAAATATTTTATAAACATTGTAGCACTATATTCACTAACAAACAGATATTTAATCTGTTAAGTGATAAAAGAAAGTTATAGAACAGTGCTAAAGTATGATTACATTGATGTAAAAAATAAAAAGGTAATAGTGGGCTAGGGAACAGAGAGGCAGAAAGTGTGCTTTTAGTTTTCCCTTTATAACCTTCTACACCATCACTGTCTAACAGATAACACAAGCCACAAATGTAATCTAAAATTTTCTAGGACCCACAGTAAAAAAGAAAAAAGCAGCAGGTAAAATCAAGTTCAATGATATGCATTATTTAACCCAAGGTAACTAAAATTTATTTCACGTGATGTGTATTTCACATTCATGTGATGTGTTTCACATGTACAGTGCGTCTCAGCACAGAGTAGCCCCGACTCAAACACCCATCAACACATGGCTAGTGGCTAGCATATTGGACAGTGCAATTCTATTCTGTTTGACTTAAAAGTCTAAAAGTTTGTAATATCAGTTACAACTTTTTTCTCTTCATATTATTTATTTCTTTTATTTCTGAAGAGGGGAAGAACGATGTTGGCCTAGAAAGCATGGACTTGTCTACAGCAAGGTCAGGACAAACAGGAATTTAATCATCATATACTCTCACCTCTTTATTTTCGAAATTGCCAGTCAGGTCTTGTTTTAATATTCTAGTTTGTATTTTGCTCTCCGTTGGTCTTGCGGGCCGCTGTACTCTGCCTGATGTCACTTTCATCTTGAGATCACCAGCAGTCACTTTGCTCTTGGGCACATCTTCGATCACTTTCACTAGAGGAGGAGGTGGCTGAAGGGAAAAACAAATCTAGTAGCTACCCTTGCAAACAGGCCTGTTAATATATGATTTACAAAATTTGTTTTGGTCAAATTGATAATGAACCTTAATATATATAATTATATAATTATAATAATATAATTATTCTTCAGGCAAAAAGTATAAATAAAATACCCAAGAATGTTTCCTTGTTGACTAACAAGTCAAAGCAAATTTCTGAAATTATAATTTGCTTATAACACAACAAATATACACGATTAACAACAACAAATAGAATTTAATTATTCCATGAAAGCTGGCCTTAAATGGGGACTGCAGTGTTTTGCATTCCCATGACAAGGTCAATAGCATGGTGATAATTCCTAACAGAGACGGCAGTTAGACCTATGGCCTCCAGAATGCTGAGGAACGCACCCTGATGTTCTCTGAGCTCAAGTGAACTTTCTCTGAGGGAAAGAAGCCTGGGGCCCTGCCTCTCTGTCCTCGGTGACATTTTCAATCTGCACAGAGATGGTTCTTAGTTCATTACTGCATCAGAGGCTTAAGAAAAGTCCAGACAGCATGGCTTAGATGCTAACCCTTCATTTTTACGGGGCCTATAAGACAGAAAAATAAACCCTAACCACTGCAATTGACTTAAGGTAAAATGATTCACTGGAACATTTTCTCCATGAATAATACACTCTGAAATCAAAAGATCTTCCTTGGTCAAAGAAAATGAGCAGACGAGGCATCTCAGGCTTTCTGAGTTCTAAATATGATGAAAGTACAATGACTTTCACAGGGTATTTAAGTGTTTGAGACCATTATTGCTGAACGTTCCCTTAGTAATTAGCCCAGACCCAAGTCAAAGACAAAATGAATGTGTGATTTAAGAAACTTTTTGGAAAACAAAGTGATAATTCCTTTCATATGAGAACAAGAACACAAGGAACACCGCATATGTCCAAATGAGCACATAAGATTTCAGAAAAAAACCTATTACACACATTACCGTGAATTCAAATGGTTACAAAATCCAGAAGGGTGTTTTTCCTGAGGTATAATGAAAAAAAATCACCACTCTTCAGGAAAGCTATTTGAAGCAGAAACCAAACTTTTTTAACCTCTTCCCCTCTCACCCCCAAAAGAAAAAAACAGAACAAAAGAAATAAACAGAACAAAGCAAACATCTTGACTCTCGTTTATAACAAAGACTACTAAAAGACCACTTTGAGATGTCAGAGATTTTTCTCATGCTGCCTTCAGAGGTTCAGGACTTCTGCTTTGAAACCCTCAGCCCACCTACTACAGGAGACCAAAGCAGTACTCCCCATCGTCCGTCAACTGCAGTGTGTATGACTAGAGCAGGGAATGAGATGATGTACCTGGCAGAGATACTGCATTTGTTCTAATATTAGGAAAAATAATGTTTTAACTTTACCTATAAGGGTTTTTAAATAGTGTTTTTCTAGGATACACTGTTACTTATTCACATCAAGCAAGATGACAAGGATAATACAAAACACAATAACAGCTCTGACCAAAAAAAGAGTATAATGACCACTTATTTTATGATTTAATTCTCCCTTTTTTTTTGCATTTATCTTCAGATAGAGCAGGAGGGAGAGAGGAAGAGAGAGAGAGAAACATTGATGTGAGAGAGACACAATGAGTGGTTGCCACCCACACGACTCCAGCTAGGGTCAGGGACAAACTACAACCGAGGTACGTGCCCTTAGCGGGAACTGAACCCGGGCCTCTCTGGTCTGCGGAACAATGCTCTAACCACTGAGCAAAACCGGCCAGGGCAAATTTTCCAATTCTTTATGCAATGTAGTCAACAACAGTCTGTCTTCTGAATATTGCCCATCTTTAATATCCTTGAATTATCTTCTCTCTAACCTCAATCCATTCTTCCAAGTCTTTATTAAATTTCTATTCTAGTGCCACATTTTTTCCTGCTTAAACTCATGCTCTTTCATGAAATACAGTCTCCCAAAAGTGAGAACCTGAGATAGGACCTGCATTGTCATATCTAAGTAGTGTCAGAACTTCAACACATAAGTGGGAATTGGCTTATTTCATTAGCACGATACCAGAAATTGTCCCGTGGCAAGGAAACAGAACTTGGAATGGGACACAGGCAGGTTAGGTTCTAGAGACTGTGGACCTGGGCATCTGTGTAGGCGTGGGACAGCACCAAGCGGTAGTGGTTCTGGCAGTGCATCCAAAAGAGAAAAGATTACCCCATTTCTTCTATAAAGCTAGCTTTTCTGGTTAATACCATTTCATTTTGCATAACAGATTGAGAGGAAGCAGAGAGGAAGTCAGTAACACCCTCCTACCTTGGTTTTTCTCAGATCTCTCTCTGCTTCTATTAATAACATTTTCCTAGCTCTTATAAAATTCAGATGGGCCAAAAACTCTCTCATAGAGAGCAAATAATATATTAATAAAAATTTAATTCTTTTATTTTTAAAATATTTTTTCTCTGTTGATTTTAGAGAGAGAGGATGGGAGAGGGAGAGAGAGGGAAACATCGATGAGAGAGAACATCGACTGGCCAACTCCTGCATGCCCCTCTCTGGGGATTGGGCCCACAACCTGGGCATATGCCCTGACAGGGAATCAAACTGGTGACCTCTTGGTGCATGGATTGATGCTCAACCACTGAGCCACACAGGCCGGGCATTAATAAAAATTTTAAAGTTTACAAAAACAGTAGAGTACAATTCCACACGCTTAAAGAAAATGTATGCACACACCGCCAACAGATTCTCATCACTCGCAGTAGGTAAACAGTCAGCATAAACACAGAGTTAGTCAATCCTGAATCACGGCTCCTGGGGAGAACACTGAATTAGGGCACATTTCTGTCAACCAATCAATACATAACTTGTGTGTGTGTTTCTGTTTAAAAACACTTATTTACTCAGGCTAACAGCATGATAACTTGCGCCTGAACAAAGTTTACTATCACCGCCTTCTTGTGTTTTAGCATTATGCCTGGAAGCGGTTTGGAAGATCGAAATCTCCCAGGAAAAGTGTAAAAACATGAAAAATGTGGCACTGGACGGACCATGGTGAGGACACTGTTCAGCGTGAGAGCGGAGTCCAGGCAGGTGCTGCCGCGCCTGCCCTCCGCTGGGGCCTGAGGCTGGGCCGCTCAGCACGGCTCTGCCCGTGCGGATGCAGCTGACACGCGGCGAGAACTAGTCTCTGCAATAAAACCCTTATCACTTGTCTAATTAAAAAAAAAGATGAAAAGGACAAAGAGGAGCAAGCACATAGAACAAGGTATGAACAGAACATCTGGGCCAGCTGATGACTAGGCTGGGCATCAGCTTCTTCCTCTGTGAAATGAAAGGGTTAGGCCAGGTGATCACAGGCCCCTCGGTCCAGAGCTGGAAAGGCTGCACCCAGACAGCAGACCTGCCCACAAGCTGCAAGTTCTAGGTAACCACGAAAGAGGGAAGTATGTTGTAGATGAAATGAATAACGTAGCTAACAGATGAGGAATGAGACGGTGCCGGAATGAGGGAAGTGACGAAGATGGGGAAATCAGTGGGACAGGCGGGGTGGACACAATCAGAGGGGACCCGGAGAGCCAGGCAGAAGAGTTTGGACTTGACACCATGGGCAAAAGGAAGCCACTGAAGCAGCACTGTTTCAGAAATGGTGATGAATATTACTTTAGAAAAATGGTCTACAAAAGATTAACTGACGGGCAGTGGCGGGCACAGGGGGCTCTGAGTTTTAGTAGAGCTGTTTAAAGTAGAGCAGGTACGGAGGACCAACACAGGATGGCTAATACGGGCAGAGAACAGGCAGCACACAGACAGATATTTCGAACTTAAGAAGCTACATGACTTAGTATTGACTAGACTTAGGAAATAAAGGAAGAGGAGTCATCACAGTGCTCCGAGGTTTCTAGAAGACAGAGTGAGACAGAAACGGAGAGACTGGAGCTGAAGGCCTCTTTGGGGAGGTTATGTGGGGCATCTGGCATGGGACAGGGACACCAAACAGATGTCCTTGAGGAAGGCAGACATTTAAGAACGGAGGATAAGTGAGAGAGATCAAGTCTGGAGATACGGCTTTGGGAGTAAGAGCAAACAAAATCTATCCAGAAAAATGGACAAGGTTCAAGGAAGTTAGAAGATCATAGCATGAAACTTTATTTTTGATGATACATGTAAATCTTTTAAAAAATTGACGTTATTTACTTAATAACATACCTTATTTATTTCTTGTGTTAAAGCCTGAACTGAATATATGTTCAGACTTCCATTTTCCATAACAGATGCAATGTACCGTCCATGTGGGCTAATCACTGATGAACTAATTCCTTCCTCAAGGCTTCCAATTTCAAAGAGAAGTTTACAAGTCTGTATGTTGATGAATCTCATAATACCATCTTGACTTAGCACTCCAAGAACCTAAGAGTAGAAACAAATGTGAAAGTCAAATGTCTGAAAGTGAAACTACACACATATGTATGTGTATTTATGTATTTTTTTGAGGGGAGGACGGTCAGAGATTATATTCACAGAGAACCATTATGTATTTTCAAATCCCTAATTTGAGCTCATGGAGATTCACCTGTTCAGGTCCAGAGAGGCTTTAACCAGAATCAGCAAGGAGCCCCCTGGGGAACTATGGAAAGGTCACCTCCAAATGCTCCCTTCCCACAGGTGGGCACATCTCCACTCATCCCTGCAGCGGGGATATAGAAGATCGACAACTCAGCTCCTGACTTGGACCACTACGCTGGCTGTCGGAAGCGAGGTGGTGGAGTGTGTATGTTCCTTCAGCGTCCCCGGAGCTTGATCAGAGCCAGCACCCACCCTGCTGCCTCCACACGACCTGGCCTCTCGGTGAGGCTCCCATCTACTTGCTTTCAGCTGTTGTAACTAACGTTTGGGGAGTGGGGGAAGTCTGAGTTGCAAGGAGAACGAACAGAGAGGTAAGAGGAAAGTTAGTTTTTTAAGGGGAAATAAAATTTTAACTCATATTTTACAAAATTAAAAACATACTAAAAATGATTAAGCAACTACACACCCTAGTGCCTTGTCTACATACAAGTTCTTTCCCCAAAGCTGGTCAGTAGCGCTACCGTGTGGTTGCTGAAAACGCTGACATCACTTGGTACACGAAAGACTACAATGTGGAGGTAGTTGAAGGTACTCTGAAGGTGACAATCTAAAAAGCGTGTCCTTCTGCTGGTCAGGTTGTAGGAAACACCCTCCTTCAGGGTTGACACAACCTCTCCAGAGGGCACTTTGGCAAGGTCTATCAAATTTACGGAGCACATAGCCCTGACACCGCTACTTCAATTCTGGGATTTTACCCTACAGACAGGCTATGCGAATGTTGTGTGCAAAAAGAAAAAAGAACTAAAAGCAGGCAAAGGGCCCAGTAATAAAGGGTTAGTTAAAAAACTGCGGAAAAATATAAAACAGGAGGTTCTGCAGCGACACAGAACTACCCACAAGGTAAGTGAAGCGAAGGAAAGCAAGGTGCACAGCTGTATAAACTGGGGACAAAAGAGTGACAACAGCGGGTATGGAGAGTAACTGGGCGATGGGAAGAGGAGGGTTCACTGCCTGCCTTCATATGTTTGTTATGTTTACAACCACATGACCGCACTACCTATTAAAACCTCAAAATAAATACGATAAACACCCATAAATACACACACACACACACGGGTAGGTAAAAGTAGGTTTGCAGATGTTTGTATGGCAAAAGGACATGCAAATTATGAGTATTACAACAGCTTGATTAACTCAAAAGAATGTCACTCACACTGTAAACCTACCTTTGTTCACCCCTGCAAATAATGTGTGTACATACAAAATTTGTTTAAGTATAAAATTCAAGACAGTCAATTTAAAATAAAAAAGTCAATGGAAGTTACAAAATAGTCACAGGGATGTACAGTACAGCACAGGGAACCCAGTCAGTAATAATGTGATAACTATGATGGTGCCCGCTGGGCACTGGAGCATCACGGGAGACTGCGAAGCAGACGACTGGCTGACCACTATGCCGTACAGCTGAAACGGAAACAAAGTGATATCGAATGCAAACTGTGATTTTAAAACACCTTTTTAAAAAAAGGTTAAGGTTTGACTGTACTCAATTATTAAAAAGAAAAAAAGATATGTCGGGGGTGGGGTGGGAGAAGCACTTTTAGACTAAGGCAAGATGCAAAGAAGACGTGTCACAGGGCCTGAGGGGACCAGTTGTGGCGGAAGAACCCAGTTCAGCAAAGTGAGAAAACTAGTCCTCGTCCCACCTTCAGTCGTTACAACCGGCAGGAGTGGGGATGGGTTGGTTTCTGTGCTTTAGTGTCATAATCTGTAGAATGGTGAGAATCCTTCCCTGTGCATGCTCCAAGAATTTTTAAAGGATCAAATTAAAAATAGCACATGAAAGCATCCTGTAAACCATGATAAGACATGAAATTAAAGTACACAGATTTTAGAAAAAAATAAATGAGAATGCATCCTTGAGGAAAAGAGTCCATTGTCAGTAACATACAAAATCTAAGGTTAAAACATTTTTTTTTTTTCAATTTTAGACTCTTTACAAATCCTTGTAACGATCAGGTACAAGTTCAATGTGAGAGCTATTACAGTTCAGAAAATAATAGGATCCTTCTCAACACACAGAAGTCCTGCATCTGTTACTAACCTGATTAGAACCAGCATCAAAACTATCAGGAAGAAACTCTAGCTGGCGAATGGCTCGAACTTTAGTAGGCATCTGGATAATTCTAAATAGCTGTTTGGCTTCTAAGCACCACAGATGAAGATGGTTTGATTTGCCTCCAGCGGCCAGGATTCGACCATCTCTATACAAGAAAAAGGTGAGAAAGCAAGACAAGCAGAATTGTTTACAGCAGCACTGTCCAATGATCCCACATGGTGATGGAAATGTTCTGTAGCTACGCCGTCCAACATGCTCACGATGAGCCACATGCACTGAGAACTTAAATGTGGCTAATGCTTCTATGAAAACTAATTCTAAATTTTTTAAATGAACTTAAATGGTTCCATGCACCCAGTGACAACTATATGGAAAGCTCAGGTTTATAGGATATATATGTTTTAACTACTGTGCTAACCAGCTTGACAAATACTTGTTTGATGACTTAATTGGGGGCTTCTGAGTAACATTTATATTTTATCGAGTATTCTCAAAGTCGGGCACCACTATCCAACTCACTATACTTCACATATGACTATACTGAATCGGTACAGCATTGTTCTATGAAAAACTAAAAAGCCCAAACTTTTTTCCTGCTCGATGAAAGCTATTTTATGTTTACAAGGTAAAGAATCAGCTGTATTGATTTGTAAGGCTGTTATTCATTCATTCACCAGACTTGTAAAGTGTCCACTATCAGCCAGGTCTCGTTCCAGATGTAGTGAACAGACATGTAAGATCCCTGCTCTCAAGGGATGGTCAGTCTACAGAAAGGCAAACAAACAAATACATGCACTTGATCTCAGCTGAGCAATTCCATGAAGAACTACAGAGCGAGGTGGTGCAGAGCTGGAAAGGGAGGAAGTCTGCACCTGGACGACCTGAATGGGCCAGTCAGGGGATAACCTGGAGGAAAACTCCATGGTGGTCAGTGTTCCAGACTGGCCAGTACAAAAGCGCTGAGAAAGGAACAAATTAATTGTCAGCAAGAGTGAGAAGCCCCACTCGAATGTGGTGGGAACAGCGTACACGAAGGAAATAAGATGAGGAAGGAGAGGGAGGCCTAGGCAGGTGACAAAGGGCCTCGGGGGATGTGGTGGGGAGTCTGGATTTTAGCCTCAGTGCTGTGGGAAGTGACACGATCTGACTTAAAGATTTAAAAAGACCACACTCTACCTGCTTTGTAAAGACTGACTTTAGGAAATGAGACTGAAACAGGGAGACCATAAAGGGGCTATTCTAGTAGTCTGAAGGAAACCAGGGCAGAGCTGTGGTAATGGACACAAAAGAAGACTAATTCAAGATACACTTTGGTCGAGTCGATGGGCTTTATTGATGACTGAAGAAAGGGTGAGAAAAAGGAAATAACACCTATTTTCTAGCTCTTTCCACTGAAAGACCTCCAGACAATGACCAGCCCCCTGAGTACCCCCGGCCTCCAGATTAGGTCTCCAAATACCATTTCCCACTAAAATGAACGCTGATTCCTTAGCGAAATGCCGATTCCAGGTTTGGGAAAGAAAATGTGTAAGATAAGCCTGGAACATGTTGTTAGACCACAAAGAATGAAAGCTCTCACAGATAACTGGGTATCAAAAGGGTTCAAAGCCGACGTGAGGGGACCACACTGGTCAGAAAAGAGAGAATTAGAACATCACTACGAATAACTTAAAAAGAATTCTGATGCTATAATTTGTAAATTTAAGGGTTATAGAATGCTCACTTCGATACATTTACATGTTGAATAGGATTGCTACTGAAGCAATATTTATCACATTACATCCTTATAGTACGAGATCATTGACTATAGTACATCTCTATAGCTTATTTGTTCCTCATTACAAGTTTGTACTCTTAAACACCATCAAGCTAACCTTCTACCCCCAACTCCTGATAACCACCATTTTACTGTTTTTTAACGTTTGACTTTTTTACCAAATATAGGTGGTATCGCACAGTATTTGTCTTTAAGAATAACAACTTTAACGGATTAAATCATGCTAACTATGTCTAAATCCATGCGTTTACAAAGATTAAAGACAACTTCATATGCTACCTTTGGACGATGCCAATAAACCAATTACTTAAAACATTTTTTTAAAAGAAGGGGAGCCCGGCCAGTGTGGCTCAGTGGTTGAGCATCGACCCATGCACCAAGAGGTCGTCAGTTTGACTCCCGGTCAGGGCACATGCCCAGGTTGAGGGCCAAATCCCCAGTGGGGGGCATGTAGGAGGTGGCCAATTGATGTTCTCTCTCATCAATGTTTCTATCTCTCTCTTCCTCTCCCTTCCTCTTTCTAAACTCAATAAAGAAAAAAAAATTTTTAAAAGAAGGGGAAATCAAACATGTATCCTGCCTTTCTTTATAGATGACAGAAGATCATATTAACACCACAGGGATACAAAGAGCAAAATCCAAAATATAAAAAATTCTACAGGCCGAACGACCAGTTCTTCGACAAATAAACTGCAAGAGAAAAATAAAAGGGGGGCTATTATCAACCAAGACAATGTGTGCACTTTGTTTCATTCCTGATTTGAACAAACCAGACATAAAAAACAATTGCTAGACAAATCATGGAAATGTAAATAATGACTAGACTTACGACAGTATCAAGAAATTATTTTTTAAGTGTGATAACAGTACTATGGTTCTTCAAAAAGTGTCCTAATCCTTTAAAAACACACAATGAAATATTTGTGGATGAAAACGATATGCTTGGGCTTTGATTTAAGACAATGCAGTAGAAAGCAGTAGGTGGAGTGATAGGTAAAATGAAAGGTGCCTATGACCTGAGGACTATTATAGCTAGTGAGAGTCTTATAATTAGGACTCCGTGAACTTTTATATTTTTGTGTGTAGCTGAAATTTCCCACAATAAAGTAAAGTAAGTTCTACAGACTAGATCTAAGTTTGAAGGAAACTTTTCCTCACGTGACAATAAAATACTGAAGGAAAATTTGTAAAATTTTACTGGAAGTTAAATTTCTTAAACATTCTCAGTGCCTTAAAACGCACATTACCTGGTCACAGCGAACACTCTGTATAACACACTAGAGCTTTCGGGTGGAGCTGGCAGTTGATATTTGCATAAAAGAGTGTCACATTCCCAGGCGAAGATGGAATTATCTTTAAAACAGCTGAGGATGGTATTACTTAATGGTAGAAAGAAAACCTAAAGAACAAGAAAAAAAGTCATTGTTCCTATAAGGATCATACAGCCTTCTTTAAATTTAAAATTATACAAGTAGTCGATTTTTCTTTTTAAAAATTATTTTTTCTTAAACTAGAGAAAAAATACATTCACAATATTTGAAAGGGGATAATACTGATATTTCACATACCATTAAAAACAAAGAACCCTGGCTGGTTAGAGCGTCGGCCTGCAGTCCAGAGAGACCCAGGTTCGGTTCCCGCTAAGGGCACGTACCTTGGTTGCAGTTTGTCCCCAGCCCTGGTTGGATCGTGCAAGAGGCAGCCACTCGATGTGTCCCTTTCATGTTGATGTTTCTCTCTCTCTCCCTCCCACTCTATCTGAACAAAAACCAGAAAAATGTCCTCGAGTGAGGATTAAAAAAAAAAGGTAAACTCCTTCAAACAAAAAATAGATGAGTACAATGACCAGGCAATTCATAAAATACTATGTAACAATGTAAAAAACATTTAACCTTATAAAAGATTCAAATGAAAATAACAAGATACACCCTGGCTGGTGTGGTTCAGTGGTTAGAGTGTTGGCCTGTGCACCAAAGGGTCACAGGTTTGATCCCTGGCCCTGTTTGGGGTATGTGCAGGATGCAACCAATCGATGTGTCTCTGTCGCACACAAAGGAAGGGAGGGAAGGAATAAAGGAAAGAAAAAATATAAGGAAAGAAAAGGGTAGAAACCAATGCATTAAGGAAAAAATATTCCTGCCTATCCTCTCAAAATAAATCCCTTCAAATGGCTTGAGACATTTCACATGGTTTGATCCTTGGTTACATCTCTAGCTATCTGTTCTTTGATTCCCATCTAGAAGAGCCTCCTTAACTACATTAGCTTATTGTAACACTGTATTTGAACCTATTTTGCCATTGTTTCTACTGATGTGTCTTTATAAGCTTTATTATTTTCTTCTTTTTAAATCCTCACCTGAAGATATTTTCTGTTTATCTTCAGATAGAATGGGAGGAAGACAGAGGGAGAGAAAGGAAGAGAGAGAGAAGCATCGATGTGAGAGAGACACATCAACTGGCTGCCTCCCACATAACCCCAACCAGGGCCAGGACCAAACTGCAACCGAGGTATGTGCCCTTGACCAGAATCGAACTGTGACTCATTGGTCCACAGGCCGACGCTCTACAGCTGAGCCAAACCAGCCAAGGCTATTATTTTTTAAAAAACATGATTCTTTCTGTGTTGTAAAGAGAAGACTAGGACTCAATGAGAAGGTAGATTACCTTTAAGAAGTTGTGGCCTCTCATTCCAATCCCTAGTTTTTCACATGCCTTCACAATTGTACTAGTGTCAGAAGGAAGCCCGATTTTTCTTGGAAATTCTTTGGGGATGAAGTAGTGTTCAATGTCTTTTAACACTCGACTGGAGTGTCTCTTGAGTATTTAGAATCTAGATATGGCCGCTGTCACAGTAATGAGAGAGAGCTGGCCAGAATGACTATCCAGGAGAAAGGCAGGATCAACACCAAACCTCCCACGGCTTTTCCCTGTGCTACAAACTAAATGGTCAGTGAGGTTCCATGTGAAATACGTCTGCAACCTTGACTCTAATTTGTGTTACTGTCGCCCAGCCTGTTATATACATACAGTTTAGAATTGATTCTAATAGTTAATAATATCAATATAAAAATTTCAGGGGATTATAAACCACAATTTTCTTAACAAAAGTTGCAGACTGTTATCATAAACTGTTTTCTCATACACATATAATAGTATCCCTTTTTTCAGTAATAAACAGTGCTAAATAACCTGATAATACACACATACATAATACACTATGGAACATACTGGTTAAATAAAAAAAGTCTACTCAGGATTAATGTTAATAAGACATAATAAAAACACTGACTCAACTACTGCCCTTGCTTGATCCAGCTCCTCACTTTTGTCTTTGGCTCACTTTGTCAAAGACAATCTCTGGTAGATCTTTTGCCAAAAGATTCAGGAAGGCACTTTATATAAAGGCCATATAGAAAGATTTGGCAATGAATACATTATAATGGATGCATTAAAGCATGGTTTCAAAACCAATGTCAGAAAAAGTGACGAGATATTTATTATAATTAGCAATATTTTTCTAGAAAAGTAATAAAGGTTATTTCTACTGAGAAGCAAAAGCTTAAAAGTTAATGAGCATCAGGCGCTATTTTAGGGGAATTGCTGTGATAGCTTCTCGCCTACATGATTATTCATCACTAGATCTGTGATTTTAATTAGCCAGATTTTAATGATTATAAAATTGTTCCTAATGAACCATGTCACTATTTAGATAGTGTCATCTCCTGACAAACCTAAAAAGCTTAGAAAAAACTTTAAAAGCACTAACAAATGTACAAGGATGGGGCTGTGATTTTTCCTTATAAAATATGAAAACCCTGTGCTTTCCAAATCCATTTTTGAAAGTAGTGTGAACTCTTTTCAAAGTTTAAAGAGTACAGGACAGTAATAAGAGCAAGTTAAGGCCAAATGTAGAATTCAGCAGCAATTTTAGTGAGCTCCCACTGTATATACAGAGACTGAATTAAGTTCACTATACACTCTTTATCAAATGTTTTCTGATATTCATCATGAAATCTTTTCTGATACATACTGAACCACAGTAATTAGAAATCCCAGGATTTATTTCAAAACTCCTAACAAAGAGCTATATAATCTATCTCTAAGCATCAACAAAAAAATGAAAATTTACTAACATAAAGAGATGTAACTAACTGGTTCACCTGAAAGGCAGGATTGTATAATGGAATGATGCTGGATTCAAATCGCAACTCCTTTATAAACTGTGGACACTGGGCAGGTTACTTAATGTTGCTGAACTTCAGTTTCCCCCTTTGTGCAATGAGGACAATGGTATCTATCTTTCAAGATTATTTAAGCTTAAAAATAACAAAGTGCTAGGTACATAGTAAGTACTCAACAATTGGTATCTATTATTATTAGCATTAATTACTGCTATTACTGGTACACAAATCAGGGGAAATAAGTTGGAGTGGTAGGTTCTTTAAAAACATTTGAAATCAAAAGTCCATAGTTTTTTATCTGAAACCCTTGGGGCCAGATGTGTCCCAGAATTCAGAATCACGTCTGATGTGAGAAAGGTAGCATGATCCATATTCTATAAATTTATATGGAACCCCTACGTGACCTGGAACAACACCCCATATTCACACATTAATATTTCAGCCTCAAGTCAACCCAGTCCAGGCTTTGCTGCTAGATGAATTCAGGTCAGATCATATTTTGCCACTGAGTGAGTTATTAAACAACTTTTATCTCTTTGAATTACCAATAAGGAATTGTGCATCTATTTAACATATTTAAAAAAATAATTCCCTTACAGCTTTTTAAGATATCTAACTGCATAATCCCATAACAGAGCTCAATAATAGGCAACAGTAGTAATAGCTAATAATAATGACAACAATAGAAAAAATAGCAGCTGCAGCTGACTTTTGCTAAGCACTTACTATACAACAAGCATGTACTGAGTGACTTGCACAGATTATCACATTCAATCCTGAAACCAAATGTAAGGTAAGTATTATTACTATTTTCATCTTATACATAAGAGAAATAGCTTATTAAAAATGTTAAACATACATCAACTCAAGCCTTTATACTTTAGTTTATAAGAAACACAAGTGAGCGATTGAGTTGGATGACACAATGATAAAACATTAAGATGAAGCCGGAATACAGGGCATTTTCTAAGACAACTAGCCTGATCTCTCTAAAAAAAAAAAAATTTGATGTTATAGAAAAAAAATGGTAGGAGACTGTTTTAGATTAAAAGAGCCATCATAAACCGAGACCTACAGTATCACCTGTCACCATGTGTCATAAAAAAAAAATCACAAAAGTTCTACTTAAAATGAGAAGAATAAAAGTTTTTCTTTAAGATTAGTTTATAATTATCTCTAATTTTCAGCAGAATAAGCCAGAAATGGCAACATGTGGCCCATCTCCATTTTCTACATAGCCCAGCAGCTAAGAATGGGCTTTACATTTTAAAATTATTTCATCATAGATGCTTATATAAGTACACACATAATATCCTCAATTTTGCTCTTGGCCTGCAAAACCAAAAATATTTACTAGCTGGTCTTCTGAGAAAAAATGTGCTGGTAACTGACAGACAAGGCTGCTTTACTTTAGAACAATACACTTATATGCACACTGCATACTACACAGGCATTCTCTACATTTAATTTCATTCTCATATCACTAACATTTGAGTCCAATTTTTATCCTCACCCGAGGACATTTTTCCATTTTTTGTACAGATAGAGTGAGAGGGAGAGAGAGAGGAAGAGAGAGAGAGAGAGAAACATCGATGTGAAAGGGACCACCACACGACCAACCAGGGCCGGGGTGAGTCCAATTTTTAAAACTAAAATGTCTAAATGTCCGAGCAAGGTTAGAATTGGCAAATATCCAATGTATACTAATTCTAATTTCATGGTAAAAAGAACAGATGGTTTTTGTGTCATTGTTTCATAACTGTTTCCATTGTGGTTCAACTCCCAGTATTCTCTTCTTTAGAATTTCAAATTCGATTTAAGTACTAAAGCAATTAAAGAAACAACCTACTAAGACATTTGGCCTAAATCCCCCGTGAATAAACTGGATACAACTTTTATCTTCTTTTTAATTATCAAAGGCAAACTAAAGAACTTAGGGATTTCCATGGAGAGTACAAAATAAATTTTTGGTTGACACGCACTGCGAGCTGCTCATGTTAATAACCAAGAAATTAAAAGCAAGACAGCATGTATAACATAACCTGAAGCAAAGTAAGTAATCACACGGGAGACTCAGACAATCCTGAAAATAGTATTTAGCTAATCAAATAGAAAAAAATTAAACCTTAAAAGCAAAAGAAATGAACTTTTCAAAAAAATATGGTATATGTATGCAATAGAATAATAATCAGCAATAAAGAGGGACAAACTACTGATACATACAACATGGATAAATCTCAAAAACATTATGTAGAACAAAAAAAGCTTTATACATGTCATTGATGACTATGGGAATTTTTAGATCAGACAGAACTAATCCATGCTGGAAAAGCTTCAGAGCAAAGTTTACCTGGGAAGGGATAGCTGGACCTTTCTGGGAGGATGCTAATGACAGGTCTGCACAGGTTACAAAGGTGTCTGTATTTGTCAAAACTTAACAAAGGAATACTTAAGATTTGTGCATTTCATTATGTGTGTGTGTGTGTGTGTGTGTGTATTTTTTCCCTTACATCAAAACATACTAAACCCTAGTCAATGAAAGTTTAGTATGTTATGGGCAGGTATAATGATATCTGTAACTTACATTAAAATGCAAAAAAAAAAAAAGATGAATTAATAATAGAAGGACAGAAAGATGGTTAGATCCATAATGTAGTATAGTAACATAAAGGGAAGTCTGATATAGGAACATGTTAATGATAGAGTCTAGATGGTGGGTATACACGTGCTCACTGTGAAATTCTTACAAATCTGCTGTATGTTTGAAATGTTTCTTAACAGAATGTTGGGGGTTAAAAACTAAAAATCAAACAGCTAGATAAAACGATCTACTTGCTAAAGCTAAAGTTACATACTATAATAATAATTGTTTTTAAAAAAGAAAAAAGCTCAGGAAGTTTTAAGCTGTAGCTGCGGGCAACATCTTCAATTCTATAGGTCACTTTGCCTTCCTTGTTGCCCAGTCACGAGAACACTGGCATGTGGGACAAAGTGCATCATTACCCTAACTCATCTACGAATGCTGCTGATCAAGAAACTAGCCTGAGAAGCACCACAGACCAAGATGTCCCCCTCACTGACCTTCTGTATACCCACAGACTGGAGAATATTCAGCTTTCTTTTTCTCTGGAAGGTATCCAGGTCCCAGAGTTGCGCCGTATCAGAAGAAGTAGTGATGGCGTATCTCCCTGACGCGTGCACAGAGATCGAAAACACGGATGATTCATGCCCTCTCATCCAGCTTACCAGCTCCTTGGTGACTGTGGTAAAAGCAAGAGTTACCTGCGTCAAACACTATGTATCATTCAAGAACTAGTTCATCTGATACTAGGCCTTATGAGGCACCTCCATTCACCTCTACAAAAATGGAAGCCTGTGTCTAGCTAATAAAATGCGCTTGGGACATGTCAGGAACGTGCACGGATCACGGAGGGACGCGATGGGGCCAAAGGGGTTAAGCACAGCCTTCAGCGTGCCCTAGGGAGCTCGGGCTTTCTCCCGTGAGGAACGTTCTCCTGTTGGAGGACCACATCTCATCCGTGTTTTAGGAAAAGCATTTTGAAGTATCTGGTGGATCTACTGGAAAGGGGGAAGAGATGAGACGACTAATTCATTTGTTGCTGTAACAACCCATGAAGGAGACAGAAGGCTCTAAACTAAGAATGTGGCAATACAGAAAGGACACATTCGAGAGCTATGAAGGAGGAAATCACAGGGCTCTGTGATCGCATGGATATGCGGAGACCAAAGAGGAGCTAAGACTCCAGTGGTCCTCATTTAGTTATGTAAACAGACAGTGATACTATTAACTAAATACATAAGGAGGGACAGATTTAACAGTGTGGGAAGAAGACAAAACAAATTTGATTTGCAAAATTGATTTGGAGGTACATGTGTGTGCATGACATACAAGCAGAGAAAACAGTATGGTTAGGGAAAATACCCAAAACTATTCATGATAATTATCACTGGGTAGTAAAATCATAAGTGATCTTTATTTTCTCTCTGCATTTTTATGTTTCCAAGTTTTCTATGACAGGCATATTTTAATCAGAACTCTTTCCTCCAGAAGGATGGAACTAAGGAAAATAGAAAGCAAGATGTAAATCTGAGAAACATTAAGATACAAAGTAGGTCAAAATTAAAGACAGAGGAACAGATAAACCCTTAGGGAGATAGTGGTTTCCAAACACCAGTCTCAAGTCTGGCATTAGTTAATGGTCAATTTTCCCACCGGTCTTCACTGAAATGAGAAAAATAAAAATAATGAGTTTTTCATGAAGCTAAATTTAAAGTATTACTTTTTAATCTAGTATTACATCCTTCTAAGCTTCTTTATGTTTAAAAAAAATCCCTTGTTTTATGAAGTTATATTGTTTTTCCAATGTTAATTGGCAAAACTAAGAGTGGACAACCTATGTGGGTTCTTCTGCTTTTCCTTTGTAAGTGCGTCAAAAATCCCAAAGTCTAGGAACCACTAGAGGAAGTCAAGAGAGAGATTACTATAGAAACTGTCAGAAAGGCAGGAGGAAAACCAAGAGACAGAACAGTATGAAAACTAAGACTCTTAAAGTCATCCAGAGCATTACATGCTACTGAGAAATAGAATGAAAGTATAAAGAGAATTTAAACAATCAGAAGTTACTCATGACCCTGGAGAGAGAAGTCTTAGTAGCATGGAGTGGGGAGGGGCCAGGGTCAGAATCCATTGGGGACGCAGCGAAGACGCAGGATTGGGCAGTGAAGACAGACGGGTGCAGCTGAGGAGGTGGAGACAACATGTAAGGAAGGGGCTTCATGGTGGGGGATGTCAGTAAGACAGAAGAGTATATAAAAAGATGAAACACAGAGAGAACAGGGTAGAATCCAAGGAAAGCAATCACAGATGTGCATAAATACTTAGTTTTCCAGAAATTGCTGCGACAGTAGTGTTGGTAACACCAAAAATTGGGATTAAAGTCCATCAATAGGTAATAGGTTAAATAATTTTGGTAGTGCAAACATCAGTAGAGTAGAATATTCGGTAATGATGTTAAATACACTGTATGAATTTGTGAAGTAAGAAAATGACATAGATAGAATGATCAGATGTTTGTAGAATGTAAAAAGGTGCATGGATGAAAGCAAATGGGAAAGACGAGTCTCTGTTGTAAAGACACCGTGTCTGGCCTCACTGCCATGATGCTTTTCTCTAGCATGTGTAGTGGCGCCCGAGAGCAGGGCCCTGCTGCTGGACTACCAGGTTGGGAATCCCGGCTCTTCTGCTTAGAACCTGGGGTCTGGATCAAGTTACTTCTGTGCTTCAGTGTCCTCACATGTAAAATAGGGACAATAAGTGTCCATCTCTGTGGGTTATGATGATGATTAAAACTAATTAATGTCTAAAGCCATAGAATAGTAACTGGCAGATCGTGAACACTACATGAATGTTAGCTATCACTATTATGGTTTATATACTGTTCTAAATATAACACATCAATTTTACTTTAAAAACAAGAAAAAATAGAGTTGAGACACCTTTTCTTAATAAGAGGTTCACTTTATAGAACTCTACACTCTATAAAAATGTTGTATAAAATACATAAATAATATTTTTAAAGTATTATTCTCTCCCATGTAGTAAAGAATTTGGCCTTCAGAGAGGTGCGGTCTTTGTCCAGGCTCTTGGGAGGCACCCTCTAAATCCCTGGGAACCCCCAGTGAGAGGAGTGTCTGTCATTCGTGGCAGGTCCGTCAGACTACAGCAGACAGTGCATACTGAAGAGAGAACCTCAGAGCGGGCGCTGGCCATACAGAAATACCAACCATGCGAGGGATTAGAAGGTTGGGACTTTGGGCCACACGGCATCAGCATGAGCTCCAGAGAGGAGGAGAGGATGGACACCGAGTTTAACCAGGAGGGCACTAATCCAATCAGCTATGCCTATGCAATGAGGCCTCAATAAAAACTCTGGACATTAAAGCTTGGGCGAATTTCTTGGTTTGGCAATACTCAGTACGGATGGCCACACACTGATGTTGAGAGTAATGCGTCGCCAAGGATAACAGAACCTTCTCAGATTCCACCCCATGTCTCTTCCTTTGGCTGGTTCTAATTTCTATCCTTTTGCTACATTAAAACTACAATCATAAGCATAGTGCTTTCTTGAGTTCTGTGAGCCCTCCTAGTGGATTACCAAACCAGAGGGTAGTTGTGGGGAACCCTGAGTATGCAGCCAGCTAATCTGATGTGAGGATGGTCCTGTGGCCCCTGAACTTGCGGCAAGTGTCTGAAGTGAGGGGTGTCTTTTGGGAAATGCTCCTGCAGACTCCTTGCAGTACTTCAGTCTCTATTTCCCCCTGCTTCAAAAGACAAATAAGAGGACTTCTTACCTGTATCAAAACATTTAATAGAATAATCAGCTAACGCCACAAGGAACTCAGACTTCCTATGAAGATTAAAGGCCAGAGCTGTGCAAGCTTGTGCTGTTCGATGAACAAGATTAAACCTATTAAGAGATGACTGCATTAGTACCAGCAATTCTTCCAATAACCACCAGTTTTATGTTTGAGGAGTCCTTAGAGATAAAATGAAACCTAGAAAAATGAGCTCCCCTTCCAGTAGGCCCGGAATAGATTGTGAAGAGCTAAATGCCATGTAAAGGAGTCGGATTTGACTCATACAGGATGGGAGGCTGGCAGAGTTACGACCAGGCATGTCTTGTAGAAGATGATTCTGGCAGCAACGGCACAGGGACTGAGGGACAAGGAAGAAGACATCATGAAAACAGCCACTGCAGAGAATCTCAACCAGAGCTGGGAGTATAAAGTGAAAGGACAAACAGGAGAGGGGTCAGGAGTCAAGTGGAGAGAGGCTTAGCAACCCATCTAACATGGGTGACGAGGGACAAAGCAGGAATTCCTCATGTGTGCAATGAAGACAAGAATAGATAGCTCATAAGGTTGTTATGATGATTAACCATACGATGACTAGATGAAATAATGTATGTTAAATGCTTAGCAGAGTACTTGGCACAAAGCTAGAGTTTAATTTACAAAAAATACATTTTTCAAGCTTGGGCAAAAGATGAACAAGTTTGAGGATAGGAAAAAATAAGTCTGATTTTAAACATGTGGAATTTAAGGCCCTTGCAAAACATTTCAAGCTGTGTTGTCCAAAAGACATATAATGTGGGCCACATGTATAATTTAAAATTTTCTGGGAGCCACATTAAAAAAGTAAAAAGAAACAAGTCAAATTATTTTTACTTAATTCAGTATGTTGAAATGATAATATTTCAACGATTAAAAAATTAATATCCTATATATTTTTGCATACGAAGTCTTAATAACCCAGTGCACATTTTACACTAACACCCCATCTTAATTTGGACTAGCCACCTTCCACGGGCTCCAGAGCTCCCGGCAGCCAGTGGTCAGCACACTGGACAACCAGTCCAGAAGCTGCCCCGTGGTAACAGCAGATCTGAGTTACCGTATTTACATGGCAGCTAGGAAAGCTAAGGCTTGATGGTGGTAAGATTATCAACGAGAAACCTGGAATATGAAGGAAGCAGGCCAAGGACAGATCCCCAAGTAGCATAACAATAAAGGGGCAGACACTGGGAGAAGCGCCAGCAAAGCAAGGGAAAGAATAAACAGAGGTTGCCCTGGCCGGTTTGGCTCAGCGGTTGGAGCATCGCCCTGCGGTACAGAGAGACCCGGGTTCGGTTCCCGCTAAGGGCATGTACCTCGGCTGCAGTTTGTCCCCGGCCCTGGTTGGTCGTGCGGGTGGCAGCCATTCGATGTGTCCCTTTCACATCGATGTTTCTCTCTCTCTCTCTCTACCTCTCTCTCCCTCCCACTCTACCTGAACAAAAAAAAAAAGGAAAAATGTCCCCGGGTGAGGATTAAAAAAAAAGAATAAACAGAGGTCAAAAAATCAGCAAAATGTTGTACTTTGAAGCATAAGAAAAAAATTAAAAAAAAAAAAAAATTCAGAGAGGAGGGGAAGATCAGAGCATTTAACAAAAGAACTGCAGAAACCAGTGGCTTAGGCAATTAGGAAGATCTTGGGGAAGCCCAGTGCAGTGGGTTTTAGAATCACACAGGCCTGTTTTCAAGTTTCAGCTCTGCCACTTACTCCTCTGATCAGCTGTAAATATTTATAGAGAGAAAAGGGACAGTAGACAAAATAAAAGAGAGGAGCTTGGCTGGTGTGGCTCAGTTGGTCGAGCATCCTCCCCTGCTCCAGAAAGGTGCCGGTTCGATTCCTGGTCAGGGCACATGCCCAGATTACAGGCTCAATCTCTAGTGGGGAGCATTTGGGGGGCCAGCCAATCGAGATTCTCTCTCATCAAAGCTTCTCTCTTTCCTTCTCCCTTCCTCTCTCTCTAAAATAGAAATTTTTAATATTTAAAAAAAATAAAAGAGAGGACCTCATGTCCCAGGGGTGGCTATAGAAGACAGAGATTAGCGCCGGGAGAAATTAGGATCACCTATTTTTATGAATAAAGTGGCAAAGAGGCAGGAGGGGAGAACGTCCAGATATATTTGAGGTTGCAGTAGGGGAGGAGGGAGGGAAGCTTGAAGGCGGCAGTCAGAGAATAAGCATGGCGTCCAACACAAAGAAACTGATAAAGGGCTGAAATACTCAGAGGAGAATGGAAGAAGTAAATAACACCAGAAAAGCAAATGAAGTACAAAGCACTGCTGATGTTGAAGGTCATTATTCTGTAATGCAGTCAATCAACAGTCATTTTTATTTCATTTAGCAGTGGGAGCCAAAGAGAGACAGCATACTAATTTAAGACGGAATTGGCAGGGTAGCTCAGAAAAGAGTAAAGAGTAGGGGAATTGTGACCATTACGTTTTTTTACCCCCTCACCTGAGGATATTTTTCTATTGCTTTTTAGATAGAGTGAAAGGGAGGGAGAGAGAGGGAGAGGGAGAGGGAGAGGGAGAGGGAGAGGGAGGGAGGGAGAGAGAGAGAGAGAGAGAGAGAGAGAGAGAGAGAGAGAGAAAGAGAAACATCAATGTATGAGAGACAAATCAATTGGATGCCTCCTGCATAACCCCAACCAGGGCCAGGGATTGAACCTGCAGCCCAGGTATGTGACCTTGACCAGAAATTGAACCTGAGATCCTCCGGTCCGAGGGCGGACACTGTAACTGCTGAGCCAAACCAGCCAGAGCATGACCATTACATTTTTGGTAAAGAGGAGAAACATGATTAACAGACGTCTACCTAGTAAACCACAGATAAATAAATCACATATGACTTCTTTTCCTGAACTTTTTGAGAATAAATTACTGAGATCATGTTCCCTATAAACAGGGAAATTCTCCTGTGTAGTCACACTACAACCATCAAAATCAGACAATTATGTCATCACCATCTAATCCTCAGACCCCATTCAGTTTTGCCAACTGTCCCTATAATGTCCCCTACAGCAAAAGGGATCAGTTCAGAATCATGCCTTTACTTGCCATGGCTCTAGCCTCCCTCAGTCTGGAATAGTTTTCCAGTCTTTCTACTACTTCCCTGACCTTGACCCTTGTGAAGATTACAGGCCAGTCTTGTTATACAACACCCTTAAATTACCTTTGTCTGATGATTCAACCCACTAGATTCTGGTTACGCATCCTTGGCAGGAGTAACAGAGGTGACACTGTACTCTTTACTGCATCCTATCAGGTAGCACACAAGTTTTGATTTGTCCTACTGGTGGTTAATTTAACAGTAATCATTTGAGAAGGTGGTGTTGGCCAGGCTTCTTCACTGAAAAATTACCCCTTTCCCTCTGCAACTAATAAATATTTTGTGGGGAGGGACTTTCTGACTACGCAAATATCTGCTCTCATTAACCTATTTGTTGACTGCAGCAGAAATGCCTGGATTTCTAATTTATTCAATGGGTTATGATCCATTACTATCATTATTTATTCTGATACTCAAATGGTCTACAACATGGCCAGAGCGTACTCCTTCAAGCTGACATTTGTGTCCTTGTGAAACATCTCCATTATTTATTTATTTTTAAATTTTGGTACATGCCCTTAGCGGGAACTGAACCCAGGACTTGCTGGTCTGCAGGCCAACGCTCCAACCGCTGAGCCAAACCGGCCAGGGCATCCCCATTATTTTTTTTTAACAATTCTTTCTTGAAAGCTACAAAATGTTCCAGGCTCATCTTATACTTTCCCTGCCTCCATCCTGAAAGTAGTCATTTCTGCAAGAACCCCTGAATCCTTTTTGCAGAGGATGGTATTTAGAAAAGAATAACTGGGCACCAGGTATGTTCATTGTTAAGGGGGTGGGTGTTGTTGCTTGCAAGTCCTATGAATAAAGAAAGCTAGGGAATATATGTACATATAAGTCTTTCACTTGCTTGTACATACACCTCTATTTATTTCTATGTCTATCTCTACATATTAAATACTAGAGTTCACAGAGATATATCCAGTTGCAATCCAGTACCACAGGCTCATTCTAGTTTCCTCTCTTCCTACATCTAACTCTCCTTTCCAACAGTTAGAAACCTGGCCCCCTTTATCCTCAATACATTTACTCATTTGATCAACATCCCCGTCTTTCTGGTGATTGCTCCACCCCCCATGCAGATACCTTCTGACTCTCTGGCTGGGCAGAGGCAGGTCTCCTTCTCACCTACCCCCACTGCAAGAATGCCTACCTTGATCAGTCTCACTGAATTGCTTTTGTACTGTTGTTCAGCAAAGGAAGAGAAGAGTGAGGATCAATTCTTTAAGATTCCTGGATCCAGCATTCTGACCACAATGTACAAAGAAATTGTGTTCTTTCTAAATTGCTTAATGAAATACCAGACATTAACTGACAAATCAGCAATAATAAAATTTTAAATTTAAGGCAAAACAAACTACTAGAGATACTGTTAAAACCAGAACTTCATTTAATTCTCTAAGAAATCTAACCGTATTATCTTTCTACCCTTGCCCACTTTCTTCCATCAGCATTTAGGACAGAGTATTACAAGGCACCTGAAATACAGTAAGAATTTTAAAAAATCTTTCTTTTTTTTTTTTAATCCTCACCAGAGGACATTTTTCCATTTTTTGTTCAGGTAGAGTGGGAGGGAGAGAGAGGAACAGAGAGAGAGAGAGAAACATCGATGTGAAGGGACACATCGAGTGGCTGCCACCCGCACAACCAACCAGGGCCAGGGACAAACTGCAACTAAGGTACGCGCCCTTAGCGGGAACCGAACCCGGGTCTCTCCGGATCGCAGGCCAGCGCTCTAACCGCTGAGCCAAACCGGCCAGGGCTAAAAAATCTTTCTGAAGGATTAATAGCAGGTACTAAAAGTCAGTGAATTAATAACATTAAATAAAGCAAATATCAAAAGCATTACTCACCTGTTTCCAGACAAGTCAAAAACATAGATATTTCCTTGATGATCCCCAGCAATTAAGCAATCACCTGAGCTATCAAAAGCCACATTCAAAAATCGCAAAACTTTGGGAAGGTAATCCGAAGTGGTGTGAATGATGTTCACTATAATTCTGTAAAAAAAAACAACCAAAAAACAAATGAACAAATACACATTAAGTTCTATGCCAGGTATTACTTATTATGAAAATATGGCGTTTATGGTACACTTCACTAATTTTGAAGTTTTCTGCCTACCCATTCTTCCCTCCCCTCCTGCTGCTGCCCTTTCTCCTCTCCTAGAAGCACTCTTACAATGATTTCTGAAAACAGTTCAGAAAGTTACTCATTATCAGAGTAGCTACTGTTCATTTATTCATTAAATATCTGACAAGCCACTACTTGTTGGACACTGGACAAGCCAGGAACTAAGAGTAGCGGACAGACGTGGGTTGTGTCCTGATGCAACTTTCAGTTTAGTGGTAAAGACAACTTTTAAAAATAGACGCACGTAGGAACAGATTTATAAACTGATTAAGTGATAGACAACAACAGAATATAAGAGAATGCATTTTTTATTTAGTTAAATTGTTACATTAAGCAACAGACACATGCTAAAAACGACATAATTAGGAAAAAGTACTGAGTTTTATATGAATCATAAGCCACCATAGGTAAGGAAAATTTCTATTTAATATCCCAATTTTAATATATGCTAATAAGATTTTGTTTTGGTGATATAGTGTTCCAAAGTGAAAGTGCCCATGAGTTTTATTTTCAGCTATATTTCTCTAAAGTTAGTTTTTTGTTGAGGAAGAGCATGTACCATATATATACTGAAAAGAAAGCTGAGAACCGGTTTACACTTCAGGGAGTGGGGGACAGGGGAAAGACGCAATTAAAAAAAAAAAAAAGCTGTCATAACACAGCACAAAATCACTAACTCCTTAAAATAAGATATGTGTGTATATTCAGGTCATGAGCCAGAATAACCCCATTCTGTATTGCAATAATAGTTTTCAAATCATGAAAATTTTTATCTCAGTTGACTTTTGGGAAATTTTTGAATTTTAATATTAGAAACATATTTTCTTTATTATCACTTCATTAACAAATACTAAATTGAATTAAGTGTATTAAACATTTTCTTCAGTTTATCTAAACAAGGTTTTACAGACTCACTGGGTGAAACAGCAAAATTCTTATAGTGCTCACTTTTATCTAGCCCCCAACAAAGATTCTTTGCTTGACCAAACTTTAGTCAGGCTCTTGAACCTTCTAAGAGGCCCCATCTGTGCATGTCCTTGTAAAATCTAATTTTAGCAAGACCCTGCTCAGTTTAATCAGAACCCCCTGCCCTTAGTACCGGATCCTCCTTGATATGTGATCTTGTTGCTCATCCTCCATCTCCCAGGTGACATCTTATCATCCTGGCCTGTCTTTAGCAAGAATCCTGTTAGGTCGGTTTAGCCAGAACTCTCTACCCCGAGATGCTTTCTCTTAATAATTTCCCATCCACTGACACCCCCCTCCCCTCCCGCCTGATCCTTGGCTATAAATTCCCACTTGCTCAGGCTGTATTCAGCATTAAGACCAGTTCTATACTGAGGTCTCTCTTCCACTATTGCAACAGTTCTGAATAAAACCTGTTTATAGCCCTGGCCAGTTTGGCTCAGTGGTTAGAGCGTCAGCCTGCGGTCCCAAGAGACCCGGGTTCAGTTCCTGCTAAAGGCATGTACCTCGGTTGCAGTTTGTCCCCGGCCCTGGTTGGGTCGTGCGGGTGGCAGCCACTTGATGTGTCCCTTTCACGTTGATGTTTCTCTCTCTCTCTTCCTCTCTCTCCCTCCCACTCTATCTGGACAAAAAAAAGAAAAAGAAAAATGTCCTCGGGTGAGGATAAAATACAAAAAAAAACACCTGTTTTTACCATTTTAACTACTGTCCAGCTCTAGTTTTTCTCTGCTATCCCCAAAGGGAGAGGGGAGGAATAAATGTATTGAAATGACAAGGAATAACATCAAAAGGTTCCCTGGCAATTAAATTCAGACAGAGCAAATGACTTTTTCCTCCAGTTTTTTTTCTGTAACATTATTATGTGTTTGGATTATAAAATCACATGATCATTGTTCAAAATATGGAAAAATACAAACACTAATATATAAATACAATTGATTACTACCCTACCATCTAGATATAATCACAACTAATAGCAACATTCTGCCCTTCTGATTTTTCATATAAATTACTTATACTAATATTTATTTTAGAAAAACTGTTTCAGTTGCTCACATGTTGCCTGACAGAGTTCCTGAGTCCTCAAACATAATAAAAACATCAAATATTTACTCAACATGAGGAGGCATGAGACACTACTTTAAAGTCTTCATAACACCCTAGGATTACCCTGTCTGGTAGGTATGAATATCTTCACTTAGTCTTAGGAATTAACTTGTCCAAGGTCACAGAGCACTAAACGGATATTTACTTCAACTAACGCCCCCTGCCCTCTCAACACCACGATGGGTTTGAACAAACAGAAAGAAAGCTATGTTTTAGTGGAAGAAGCAAATAAGGACATCTGCACACAAACTTCTTTCTTTCATTTTTGGAATCCTGCACGTATATCTAGATGTTTTATAACAGCAAAAATGAGAATTATTGTGGGTTGGCAATAATGTTTAGAGAGTACTTACAGAACATCAGAAGTAGTGGTGGTATTTACATAAACTCCAAATTTGAAAAGAAAAATCCCTACTAAAGAATCTCAACTCTGGACAAAAACTTTATTCATTGGAGCTGAAGGGCCAGCAGCACTGCTAGGGGACTGACAGCAACGGGAAACCAAACAAGCTGCTACTACAGTTAGCACCGTGCTCTGGGCACGCACAGTTGACACCTAAAATGTTGATTTGTAGAGAAGCAATGAAAGGCTCAACAGAAAAATGACAAGAACAAGAAACACACTGAAACATGAACTTGAGCAATGAAACAAAGTCCAGGAAATTCTATGGAATTAGAAGCAATAATATCAACCTGTGTGCAGCAGATGGCACCAAGATGGCATCACTTTGGGGCAAAGGCTTCCATTAAAAGCACACAGGAGAGCCCTGGCTGGTTTGGCTCAGCGGTTAGAGCGTTGGCCTGCGGTCCAGAGAGACCCAGGTTCGGTTCCCGCTAAGGGCATATACCTCAGTTGCAGTTTGTCCCCGGCCCTGGTTGGGTCGTGGGGGTGGCAGTCATTTGATGTGTCCTTTTCACGTCGATGTCTCTCTCTCTCTATCTGAATAAAAAATATCCTCGGGTGAGGATAAAAAAAAAGCACCCATGAGAGGCTGAGCCTCAAACAGGATGGATGCCTAGGAACAGAGTAAAAAGAAGGGCTGGGGCCCTGGCCGGTTTGGCTCAGCGGTTAGAGTGTCAGCCCGCGGACCGGAGAGTTCTGGGTTTGGTTCCCACTAAGGGCACGTACCTCGGTTGAAGTTTGGCCCGGTCCCGGTTGGGGTTGTGTGGGTGGTGGCCCCTCCATGTGTCTCTCTCATGTCAATGTTTCTCTCTCTCCCCCCCTCCCTCTCTCTCTTCCTTCCTCTCTCCCTCCTGCTCTGTCTGAGGATAAATGCAAAAATGTCCTCAGGTGAGGAAGAGAAAAACAGGCAGAGCACAGAGGGTTTTTAGAGCAGTAAAAATATTTTGTATGATATTATCATGGTGGATATATGTCATTATACATTTGTCCAAACCCACAGAATGTACAACACCCACAGTGAATCTTAATGTAGATTGTGAACTCTGGGCATAGTGATGTACTAATGTAGGTTCATCCATTATAACAAATGTTCCTCTCTGGTGGGGGATAATGATATTGGGGAGGCTGTGCACATGTTTCTGGGGACCACCTGTCTCCTGCTCAGTCAGACCCTGGCCCCCGGCCTGGGAAGGCGTCTCCGAGCCTCAGGCTATCTGTACTTCCCCAAGTCCCCCAAGCCTGGGACCGCGGGCAGATCAGAGCCAGAAGCCGACACTCCGCCCGGCCCCTGCACCCCTTCCGGCGCTCCTCTCCGAGGCCTCCGCAAAGGCGCGGACCCGCCCCCGCCGGCCCCACCTCCTCCACAGCCTGCGCCCTCCCGCCGCGGCCTTTACCCGTCCCGAGTGGCCGGGGATGGCTTGCGGTGCCAGATCTTCCCGCTGTCCTTGGTGCCCAGGTCTGTGCTCTGCATGTCGAAGCCCACCCCGGCAGGTGACAACCGTCCGGTGCTTTCCCGGCAGGCCCCGCGCTCCCGGCCCGGGAAATTTGAGCGACGGCCGGGACCGTCGGAGGCCAGTACCAACCACGCGCAGGACCACGACCTTTCTATTAACAACCAATCGGAAGGCGGTTTCCTCCCAAACTCCGCCCAGGCAGCCCCTCCCGTTTTGAACAATGGAATCGGCCAACGACCTTTTAGACTCCACCCCCTTTCGAGGTCCCTCCCCCCCGGGAACCAACGCCTTCTGGGAATCGTAGTTTACTGCAGATGGGACATGGGTGCGAGGAATAGGCTTGGGAATAATGCATTCTGGGGTCCTCCTGGGGTATTAGGCTCCTAAGGAGGCAGTAAAAGTGACTTTCTTCTGTGTCCCTCCATTCCGTTCTACTTAGTGTTCAGGGATTAAGGGGTTGCAGAGAGAACTAAGAGAGAACCAAGGACTCAAATACAGAGACTTGAAGGGTTCCTTTTACAGAAAATTTGGGCTCAAAAGAACCTTTGTAGAATCCACTCTTCTTGACCTTTTCTCCATCGTCATGATTATTTTTTCAAGTCCGTAATCTAACAGGAGGCTCCAATATCATGGTGTCCAGCCCACCAGTCATGAACCAGGAAAGCAGTGTCATCAACCAGTTGCACTACCCTCAGTTCTTTTTTGTAAAAACTCACCAAGCTCTTCAATAGTGCTTACTAGATATCAAACACCCGTTTAAGTGCTTTTTGAATATTAATTCACTTAATCTTCATAGCAAGCCTACAATGTTGGTAGTACTATTATTCCTATTTTTTTGTGCTCCAGGAGCTCATGTACTGTTTTCCTGAGGCTGGGGTAATAAATTACCACAAACTTGGTGGCTAAGAAAACAGAAATTTATTCTCTTGAAGTTCTGGATGTCAGTCTGAAATCAAGGTGTGGGCAGGACCTCTCCTGCCAGAGGCTCTAGGGAAAATAACATTCCTTGCCTCTTCCAGCTTCTGGTGGTTGCTGGCTTTCTGGTCTTGTGACCACATCACTCCATTCTCCATCTCCATCTTCATTCACATCACCATCTCTTTTCCTCTTCAGTCTGTCTCAAATCTCCCTTTGCTTTTCCGTCATTGGATTTACGGCCCACCTGGATAATCCAGAATGATCTAATTTGAAGATCTCTAACTTAATTATACAGGCAAAGACCACTGTTCAAATAAAGTAACATTCATAGTTTCTGGGGATTAGGATGTGAGTATATATTTTGGAGCCCACCATTCAACTCACTACAGGCAGGTACTTCTATTTCCCCCGTTTTGCAGACAAGGAAATTTGAGTTAGTAGGAGAACCAGGATTACATCTTTAGTCTTTTTGCTCCTGGTCCCTGTGTTTTATTACAACAGAAAATGACTTTTTATAAAATGATATGGCCATGATATTTGAAAAGCTTAAACTCCATCAGAAAAGCAAAACTCTCACAGAAAAATTTACCAATGCATATTTTATAACTTCTTATATTGTTACTAAGAGGTGACTCTGAGAGACAAGACAATCTTTAATATCCTACAGCAGAGGAGACACCCACATTCCTCATTTATACTAATCGGATTTGAGATGGTAATGAACTGAGAGTATGAATGTTAGTATTATCATTCAGGAAACTTAAGGTGTTAAGCTTATGGGCACCTAACTTGAAATACAGGTTATTTCCCACACATCTATCCTATATAAGTAACTAAACTATTTTTATCAGTAGCAGAGACAAATCTGCAGAATGATTTCCTTAACTACTCTGGTTTAAACTGTGTGTACCTTGCCCAGCTGGTGTGCCTCAGTGGTTGAGCATCGATCCATGTACCAAGAAGTCGTCAGTTTGATTCCTGGTCAGGGCACATGCCCAGGTTGTGAGCCAAAGCCCTGGGGGGGGGGGGGTATGCAGGAGGCAGCCAATCGATGTTCTCTTTCATCGATGTTTCTATCTCTCCCTCTCCCTTCCCCCCTTGAAAATAAATAAAGAAAAAAAATTAAAATAAATAAACAAACGGCGTGTACCTCAATTTGTATGGCTGGCACAGCCCATGTGACCATCCTATTCAATTTCATATATGTGAAAGGGAGGTTTCCATATTATAGGTCTTCTGGACTCCCATAATTCTTTGAATTCTTTGGGTCAAATATGAAGGTCAGGTTGGCATCTGAAGAGATGTGCACCCATAGCTGCCAACATTCTGCTCATTATAATCTTCCAGTTCTTATCACCCAAGTTGGTAGACCATTTGCAAAATGTTTTCCAAAATAATTACTCAATCAATAACTGATGCATCCTATGCGTATATATTTTTTCCATTTTATTTAGTGTAACTGACAATAAACTGCACATAATTAAATTGTATAATTTTATAAATTTTGACATATACTTTTTGAAACCATCATTATAATAAAAAGAATTAATATAACCATCAGTTTCCTCCTGTATCTTTGCAATCTTTTTTTTATCTCCATCTTACCTTGCCCACAGGCAACCACGGATCTGCTTTCTGTTTCTTACATTAGTTAATATTTTCTAGAAATTTATATCAACGGGTCCTGAACTATGAACTCTTCATTTTTGTCTGGCTTCTTTCACTTGGCATAATAATAATAATTATTATTATTATTTATTAATTTTTTATCCTCACCCAAGGACATTTTTTTCCCCATTTATCTTCAGATAGAGCAGGAGGGAGAGAGGGAGGACGAGAGAGAGAGAGAGAAACATCAACCGAGTGGCTGCCATCCACACAACCCCAACCGAGGCCGGGAACAAACTGCAATTGAGGTACGTGCCCTTAGAAGGAACCAAAACCAGGACTCTCTGGTCCTCGGGCCGACGCTCTAACTGCTGAGCCAAACTGGCCAGGGTGGCATAATTATTTTGAGAGTCAGCTATGTTATTGGACATATCAGTAGTTCACATGTTTTAGTGCTGAACAGTCTTCCACGGTAGTGATATAGCACAATTAATTTATCCATTCACCTGCTGATGAACACTGGGATTGTTCCCAGTTTGGGGCTATGGCAAAGAAAGCTGTTAGAACATTCCTGTACAAGTCTTTGTGTGAACATGTTTTCATTTCTCTTGGGTAAATTCTTAGAAGTGAAACAGCTGGGCCATATGGTAGGTGTAGGTTTAACTTTTTCAGAAACTGTCAAATGTTTTCAGAGTAGTTACACCATCTTACATCCCACCAGCAGTGTAGGAGAGTTCTAGGTACTCCACATCCATGATGAATCTTTGTAATGATAGCCATTCTAGGAGTGTTGCGCTACTTCCTGGTGATTCTAATGTCCATTTCTAGAGTGACAAAGCAAATTACTATATAAGTGAACAGCCGGAGAATTAGAGTAATGCATATGTAAAAGTCAGAATATAAAGGATCGGGTGCGCCATTCTAAGGAGTTTGTATCTTGAAAGTTTCTAGAGAAACTTGAGGTTTCTAGACATGTCCTTCTGACTACAGTAGGAAAATCACTTTAAAGAGCTTGAGGTCTGAGACAGAAACAGGGTGGGAGCTGTTCCACTTGAGACAAAAAGAGATTAAGGGTTGACCAAGTCTGACACGGTGGAAGGAGTCCAAACAGGCAACTGTTAATGACCAGGGTATGTTGACATATTACGCAGGAAAGTTGACATTGCACAGAAAGAGTTCTGTTTCATCAGTAAAACCGAAATGAGCGTCCAGCTGCTGACTGATGAAACCCAGGCAACATTTTCCATTTCCTAGATGAGTCAGCTACTTGGTCTTATAAGGAGGGGTGAGGAGGCACAAGCCACTACAGGTGAACTGTGACATGGCATGCTTCCTTGCACCCTTTTAATATGAGTCAGGACAGAAGAGAAAAATCAGAGGGATGTGATTCCAGTGGCTTAAATAAGTAATCACACCTAGGTGCTCTCATAAGACAGACGTGAAGCCAGCCACGGGTAGTGTTTCATGTGTAATCAGAAGGAGTTGGTACCTACAGCTGAAATGGACTGTATCAGAGGAGGGGGGAGGAATGTGATGCTCAACCTTACAGGCAGTAAGATCATTCCCACATACAATCAGAGTGCTGCCATGGCCTAGGGTTGCTAAAAGGCCTCCTCCAGACTAAAGGAAGGAGGCCAGAGGGCGAAGCTCCCTGTTTCATGGCAGCATGGGAAGTGGCCGCAAGTTTCACATCCTTACAGCCCTTCCCCATGGCCAGGACAGGAGGCAGGTGTGGAATTTGTGGCCTCTGTCACGTCCAAAGCTGTCGTAAGAAGCAAGCACAGCCTACAGCCACCTCTGCCTTAGCCACGACTGTATAATATCCCATCTTATGAATACGGCATAATTTTATAATCCCCCTATTGTGGGCCGTTGGGTTTTTAAGAATTACTTGCAAACTTGATGTCAGAGAAATTAATGTCTAAGTGTGCTATTGTAGGCATTAGGATAAGCCAGTTTGTGAAGCTTCTATTGGGAGGCTTAAACCTTCAAAATTATTCTCTGTAGGTAGTGGCTTTTTCCAAAGGCCTTCCTGGGCAGAGCGCTGTGGGAGCCGGAGGATGCTGGGAATAGGTCCCACAGGACTGACTAATTAGCCTGATCACAGGCTCCTAATAACACATGTGGGCTGAGAGACAGGCTATCAATCAAGCATGACAGGATGCGGGTAAACCAGGAGTAAATGCTTCTAATCACTGTAAGGGAGGAAGGCAAGCTGACTGACCTAAGCGTTTATTGTCCACTAAAGTATTCTAGGGCAGCGTGGCATCCTTCCTCCAGGGCCCACTCGGGCACTATGTGGGGAAGAGGCCACAGAGCCCAGTGAGGATGATCAGCAGGAAACAGCACCTAACAGACCCCTCCTCTGCTGAACTTCATCACATCTCAGCTGGCTCCTCGGTCCCTCCTGATTTCTACGTGGCCTTACCCAGCAGTAAAAACCATCTTTCTGAAGCATTTTATTTTTAAAAAGACTGCTCTAGCCTGTTTGGCTCAGCGGTTAGAGCGTCGGCCTGTGGACTGAAGGGTCTTGGG